CAGACAAAACAGACAGTGCAATATGTTTTTATTTTTTTTTTACATCTTGCCAAAGGACTACAGTTGAAAATTAGCCTGCTGGCTAACACTGGCACATTTACAGAAATGGTGATTAATGTGCACTGTCCTTTAAATAAATGAAATGAAATGAAATGAAATAACAAACAGGGATAAATCATGGACATTTATTGGTCACTGCTGGTTAAGAAAAGTGATAGCAATTGGGACAAAGGATGATCTATAACGCAAACCTCCCCCTCATGGACGCATCTGAAACTCAACATGGAGGGGATGTTGAGAGTCTGAGACAATGGTCACGCCATGGCCTACATCACATCACATCATGCTACATTGTAACGGTAGTTACGTTAAGTGACAACGCCCAACCATGATTCTTCTCCAAAACCTAACCTGTCGGGGCAGTACTCATAAGATATCATACGAACTGCTGTATGAGGACACATTGGTCTTGGATGAACCTCACACCCAGTCAACCACCTGTGCTTGACTAAAGAGAGTTTTCTGCCACCGCCTGAACACAGTATGTATGTGACTGGAATTTCGTTTGCGGAAAATCACATTAAATGTTTCAATGTAATCTCTCTTTCTCTGCACAGTATTCCTGTTGCTATGAATAATCAACAGAATATGCTGCAGACACTTTTCATTGAAACCATTTTTCACCAAAGAAAAAGTCCATTAACACTAATGACAGTGAGTCATATGGATCATACAGAATGGTAAATGGACTGCACTTGTATAACACTTTTCTTGCCTTCTAACCGCTCAAAGTGCTTTAACACTATATGTCGCATTCACCCATACACACACACATGTTAACACACTGGTGGCTGAGGCTGCCATACATAATGCCTCCTGCTACTCAGTAACCATTCCCTTGCACTCACACACTGATGCAGCTCAGGCTTCAGTATCTTGCCCAAGGATACTTTGACATGCGGGCTGGAGGATCCACGGATCAAAACGCTGATCTTCCAATTAGTGAACGACCTGCTCTACCTCTAAACTACAGCCACCCACGAGAATAACAAGGACAATGACTGTTAAAAGTCATGTTAATATCAATTTTTTAGCCACATTAGCTTTGTGACTCCTGGCGTGGCGGGGTCACTCGGTCAGTCCACAGTTTTAGTTGTAGCCCAGATTTCTCTGCCACTATTGGGTGTTTGCCATGACATTTTCTACACAGATTTATGATCCCTCAAAGTTGAAACATGCTGTTGGTTGTCCATCAACTTTTTGCAGCTCCCCTGAGGTCATCACAGGCTGATTTCTAACTTGTCAAATGTAGATGCGTGGTTAGTGGCCCGACATAAAAAGCTATGAAGTTCTAGTACACCTCCAAAGTCAGTTTTGGAGGCTCAGGGACGGCGTGTCAGTTTATGGTTGTTATATGCATTGTGTCTTTTTCAAAATAAACTTTGGTTTTTACAGGAAATGCACAGCTTCTGCTTATTTTCAAAAATAAACCTAGAATTTGCATTTACTTCTGAATTTCAAGTTTACTTCTTCAGGTTAGGACAACAAAAGTAGCTTACATGGTTACATTTAGAAAATGACCAGCAGTCTTCGAGGCCAGAACCCAGAGTGTGTTTAACCCTCCTGCTCAGCCTTTGCAGACTTTCTCGCTTAATATACTACGCCAGTTCCTCAGAGCATCGAAAAATGCTGCCGCCCAGCGCGTCTCACACCACCACCACCACAGAGTGCCTCGGTGTATCGTATCTAACCCATCAGGGTTTGTCTATCATTTGGGAGCACCATCCCTTAAAGATCAATGAACTGAATGTGACAAGACAACATTCTATGTACGTCAGTGCATTCATTGTCATATCATTAATAAGAAGCACACAAAGTATGTTGCAAAAGATAATACAGTGACACCTCTCTGCACAGAACTCCACTCACTGAAGAAACAAATCTAACTCTTCTGCATCTTTATGGTCAACAACAACCCCAGAATATTTCTAAAAACTGCAGTGAAGTGTAGAGTAAGAAAAACAAACCATTAAAAATTGTCTTACCGTCCCAGTGTGGTCCTCCATGTCAGAAGGCCCAGATGTCTATCAGCTGCTCTGTGTATTTTGCAAACTGGTGTCATGACCTGTGGCTTTGACTGCTGCTGAAGACCATGTGTGTGACTGAAAATGCTACAGAGACACAGAATGAGCTTTGTGCCTGAGAGTGGTACTCTAAATCCTGCACGTGTCCTCTGTTTGAATGTGTGTGTGTGTGTATACGGAGCTGTAGTTTATGTTAATCTACGCTGCTCTGTGTTTACACACTCAAATACGTCTATTCCTTTCCTCTGTGTATGTACACTGTATTTTGCAGTGTGTGTACAGTGTGTGTATGTGTGTAATCCTCAGTGTCAGCAGGAGAGCCTCTGTGTCACCAACACAATCAGCAGAGAGTCTTTATATCAGGACCAGAGTTTCCACCATTAACTGTCCTCTGGGTCTCAGGACAGGCTCCACTGTGGAGCTGCAGGGGAATAATTCATCTGCATGCATCCTTAAAACGTATGATGTCATTCACTACTACCAATAGTTATATAACTTATATTAAATGTTTTATATGTTATTATTTTGCATTTAAAAAAAACAATCATACCAGTAAAATATAAACATATGAACATTAAATAAATTGTTTATAACACATTATGTAGTTGTAAGCATTTGCAAGGACAGTTCACCCTCAAACCAAAAATACATATTTTGCCTCTTACTGTACCTGTAGTGCTTTTTATCAATCTAGATTGTTTTGGTGTGAGTTGCAGAGTGTTGGAGATAGCAGTCATACAGATGTCTGCTTTCTTTTGAATATAATGGAACTAGATTTCACTCGACTTGTGGTGTTTGAAGTGCCAAAAAATACATTTGAAAAACTCAACAGCAATGTCTCTTTCCAGAAATTATGACCTGGCAACTCAAGATAATCCACAGACCTTGATGTGAACAGTTTCATGTAGGTACTATTTTCTTTCTACCAAAGTGTACCTGCTAACCATGTCACTGCACAGAAGGGAGTCTTCATCTACTCATGGTCGAGAGGCTCGTGCTTGTGACAGCACGAAATGTAAATATTAATGGCGTCCTACTCGGCTGAGCTGTAACATAAGCTAGCTCAGGTGAGCTAGCAGTACTGAATTAAGATGCATGCTTCCTTCAACATGGTGCAACGTATCTTCATACAACGGTTTGTATGATATCCTATGAATTAGCGCCACATAAATGATATTATAGTATGTACTTCACATAAACTTAAAGACTTTAGGTTACGGCAAAAAACATGGTGAAGACGTACCTTAAATTTACTCAGAGTTCACACAGTGCCAAACAATGGTCCCCCAGTGAAAGTCCTGTGTTTTGTGACCCATTCACCACCCGAACCTGCCTCGGTGTGGTACCTCTTCCTCCTTTACTCCCAACAGCACATGAACACAGTCTTCCCCAAAATGTCGGTTAGTCAGGAATTATGTGCTCCTTATTAGATGGTATATACTTGAATTTGGTGCATTACATTTCAGAAGAAAACATACAAACAGTGTATGAGAACAGCCTGCGTGGTGATACAGTATAAGCATGTAGCTCAATAGAAAGAAATAGTTACTACATGAAACTGCTCACAAAAAGGTCTGTGGATCATCTTGAGTAACTGGGTCATGATTTCTGGAAAGAGACATTGCTGTTGAGTTGCAATCTGAGCAACACAAGCCAAATGTCATCTAATTCCATTATATTCGAGAGAAGGCAGACATCTACACGGCCAATATCTCCAACACGCGGCAACTCAAACCAAAACAGTCTACACTGATAAATAGCACCACATGTAAGAGGAAAAATACCTGTTTTTGATTTGAGGATGAACTGTCCTTTTAGATGTTTGTTAGCGTGCAGTATTTGATAGCATATTTTATATTATTACAACTGTGTTTTACCATAATGTTATTCATTACCTGTTTATAAACCAGAATAAACACTATATCAACTTACAGCTACATTATAGCAGGTTATAAACCATATTATTACAACATATTAAAATGTGCTTATTAATTCTTAATAGAGGAGGTTAATAAATAAAAAAAATAAAGGCAAGGAAAGATTACCATAAAATAGCAAAAAGAAATGAAAGAGGCATTAAGGATCTCACAAGAACGGGGAAGCTTACAAGTCTGGTTAATGGGCAGCATGATGAAATAAGAATGAGCAAACCTCCCAACTGGTATCTGGCTGTTGCCACTGCTCATAACAGACATTAAAAATGAAAGAAAATGTGTTTTTTGTTTTTTTTACAATCTTATTTTTGTAGTTTTGGCTATTATCATTCATTTTTCCCTTCAATGGCCCCATATATACCTCATTACCTCACTGAGGCCGTCTGTTTTTACAGCCTGAGGGACTTTAACCTTTTATAAACACAAACACTCATACTGTTTGTTTCTGTTTGTGATTTTGCATCAAGTGTGTGATTTTGTAATGTGCTGTTCTAAGGGTCTGTCATTTGTTTATTCATGAATGTTCAACTGCGTATTCATGTAAGTGTTGCCTGTAGTGGGAATTGGACCTCTTGAGCTCTTGTGAGAGGGCTGAGTCCCTCGGCCTCAGACGCCCTAAATACAACTCACACACACACACACACACACACACACACATAGTGCACACAAACGGATGTGAACATCCAGATCTCTAGTGTGGCAACCAAATGGATATGGCTGCAGACCAGGGTGAGCAAGGAGGAGACAGAAGAAAAAGGAAGAAAAGAGGGACGGTGCTGGCTGCAAAGTAAAATCACTGAAGGGGCGTCTAAAATTAGCAACAAGCACTTTTGGGTCTGCAAAACTGGAGTGCATCATTTAAATTGTACATGAAAAATGACTCTCATCCAGGGAGGAAGGACAGGAGGGTATTGAGGGTGGAGGACACACTGGAAATAGGAACACTTGTTGAATACGGACCAAAAAGAAAACAACTAGCATTGTTATCATCTTTATTCGTGGAAAATATGTAAGAAATAATGTTATACAGCAACTATTAATACAATAATCTATTAAAATCTTGTGGTTTCATTTTAAAAACATGCTTTATATAACTATAGGTTGGATGTTACAGAATTATTTAAGCTGATTTTAGTAAAAGTACAGCAATCGTAATTCTACACTATAATACTGGCACCATCAAAGCACGTCTAGAGTCTGTAAAATGAGGAAGGATCTTTTGTAATGTGGGTACATAAGAAACGCTGACTCACAGGAAGCATTATAAACACTGTGATGGAAAGTATCCAAGGCCATGGTTAACCTGGGGTGACTGTGCAGACTTGTGTGAATAAGACACTGAACTGAATGAAAACAAAACTACACACACATTAAAATAGTTTCTTGGATAAATAAAGGTCAGAAGTATTTAACAAAGTCTTCAGCCCAGAGTGACGATGAGGGGCCTGTACACCTCTCTGTAGGCGTTTCGGAGGAGAACATACGGGAAGCAGCTCTCCAGCATGTCTTGGCTCAAGAACGGAGACTCCTCCACAATCTGAGTGAAAAAAGTGATGCAAGTGTTAAAAACTGGAGTTACTCCATAATTTTTATTGTTAACAAAACACATTAAGAATATCAGTTTGCTTTAAGCCCATAAAGATGTTAATCTTTGTGTCACTAACATATAGTTTCCTTTGAATAATTTCCTAAAATAGCTGGGTGCTGTAGTTTTTAGCAAATGTTCCTCAAACATGAGAAAATAGTGCACTTTTTGGGGGGACTATTTTCAGCCTTGGATTAATACACGTTCGGTGTGCTGCTATACAAACTCTGCTCAGGACACACTTTAAACTGTGTAAAAAAAAGTGCTGTGATTAATATTTTCTGGGCTGGAAGCAGACCTCTGTCTCCTTTATGTTGTGTTCAAAACATTTCGCACCAGTGAATTACATGTTAATTTAATGTAAAGATGCAATTAGATGTGAATTCCTGCCCGCCAGCTCAATGGACGCAACAGGAATTATGCAAAATAATGCAAATTAAGCAGCATGAATGAAGTGAGCAGCTCGATTTCACGTCACACCCTTAATCGCGAGAGTTGAAAAATCCGAACTTCAGAGACCAATTCGCACTGTGATAGCCAATTAGCATTGAGATCCTCCGGGGATGTATGACACAGAGGACAAACTGGTGGAAATTCATTCATCTATTAAGCAATTTCACACGTGAATGTTGTGAGTTATTCATGCGATTCAACAAAAAATATTCTAGTGTTCAAACTCATGCAAGTAACACAACACAAAAATTTGTGTTAAAAACTGGAGTTACACACAACATTATTGAGAAATTCTGGATCTGGCCTGAGTCCCAGCTTACTGGGAAACTAGTGCTAGGTTGACTGGTGTTGCATCAAGATGGCTAGCATAAGTGTTAGAGGAAACATCAGAGAGATTCAGCCATACATGCCTCAGCCAGATTCTAATAGAGTGCCGCAGGGATGATGTTTTTTCCGTAGGCTGACAATGAAGTTAGCATCACACTGGTTCCCTTATCAAAAAGCCTATGAGATTTTTCCATTGGATTTTGTATTATTGCAGAAAATAAGCTCTGTGGCAAACAAACCTCTATGATACTTAAATGTTTTGTTCAACAAGATAATCTCCACAAATGAACACCATTATAATGAAGCCTAAATGCAATTGCCAGAATTATAAAGCTAACATTAGGCTGTAAACAAACTACTCTGCAGTCACATGATATAACATCACCACCACAACAAGGCTTAGCTCAGTGTGATGATGTTCTGTAGTCTCATTTAGCCACTTGGTAGCAAACACCTTTTTAAAACACATAAAAGCTTCAAAGTTTACGAGTGGGGTTTTTACTGAGGTATCTATGTCGTAGAACAAAACGTGAAATTCTCTTAAGCTTGTTTTAAGGTTCCAGGTTTCTTTGCCGAGGCGGTATCAAAGTCTGGGTTTCTGTTGATATGTGTGTCTCATAATAGACAGTGATTGGCTGTCATATCAGTGACCCAAATTAGCTTGCCTGGCCTACGTTTGAATAACAGACTTTAGGGAACTGCATAGACGTCACCCTACTCAGTAGAGAAATGTAAAAGCACCTCTCTGGAAACCAACTCTGCAAAGAAGCAAGTCAGTATGGTCAAGGTCAGACATTTTAGAGGACATAAAGATAAGAAAAACACATTTTTGAGTGAAGGGAATCTTTAAGGCAGCAGGACATTGTATGCGAGATTGATTCAAACTAAAGTGCCCATGTTCATCCTAATGAAGCAACATGTCACCCAGTGCAGCAGCGGGGCTTATTGATGCAATTTTAATTGTTCTGGGACAAAAAGTGGAGGTCTGTTGCACAGAGCTAAACTCACCCAATACTTGCTGATGGGATCAATTCATTGTCAGTTGAGAATCCAAAAAATATTGACTACCAGTTGTCTTGTATTATAAAAACATTTGCACCATAATGATTTTTAATAACACAAAACTACTGTAATATACAGTACAGGCCAAAAGTTTGGACACACCTTCTCATTCAATGCGTTTTCTTTATTTTCATGACTATTTACATTGTAGATTCTCACTGAAGGCATCAAAACTATGAATGAACACATGTGGAGTTATGTACTTAACAAAAAAAGGTGAAATAACTGAAAACATGTTTTATATTCTAGTTTCTTCAAAATAGCCACCCTTTGCTCTGATTACTGCTTTGCACACTCTTGGCATTCTCTCAATGAGCTTCAAGAGGTAGTCACCTGAAATGGTTTTCCAACAGTCTTGAAGGAGTTCCCAGAGGTGTTTAGCTCTTGTTGGCCCCTTTGCCTTCACTCTGCGGTCCAGCTCACCCCAAACCATCTCGATTGGGTTCAGGTCCGGTGACTGTGGAGGCCAGGTCGTCTGCCGCAGCACTCCATCACTCTCCTTCTTGGTCAAATAGCCCTTACACAGCCTGGAGGTGTGTTTGGGGTCATTGTCCTGTTGAAAAATAAATGATCGTCCAACTAAACACAAACCGGATGGGATGGCATGTCGCTGCAGGATGCTGTGGTAGCCATGCTGGTTCAGTGTGCCTTCAATTTTGAATAAATCCCCAACAGTGTCACCAGCAAAACACCCCCACACCATCACACCTCCTCCTCCATGCTTCACAGTGGGAACCAGGCATGTGGAATCCATCCGTTCACCTTTTCTGTGTCTCACAAAGACACGGCGGTTGGAACCAAAGATCTCAAATTTGGACTCATCAGACCAAAGCACAGATTTCCACTGGTCTAATGTCCATTCCTTGTGTTTCTTGGCCCAAACAAATCTCTTCTGCTTGTTGCCTCTCCTTAGCAGTGGTTTCCTAGCAGCTATTTGACCATGAAGGCCTGATTCGCGCAGTCTCCTCTTAACAGTTGTTCTAGAGATGGGTCTGCTGCTAGAACTCTGTGTGGCATTCATCTGGTCTCTGATCTGAGCTGCTGTTAACTTGCGATTTCTGAGGCTGGTGACTCGGATGAACTTATCCTCAGAAGCAGAGGTGACTCTTGGTCTTCCTTTCCTGGGTCGGTCCTCATGTGTGCCAGTTTCGTTGTAGCGCTTGATGGTTTTTGCGACTCCACTTGGGGACACATTTAAAGTTTTTGCAATTTTCCGGACTGACTGACCTTCATTTCTTAAAGTAATGATGGCCACTCGTTTTTCTTTAGTTAGCTGATTGGTTCTTGCCATAAAATGAATTTTAACAGTTGTCCAATAGGGCTGTCGGCTGTGTATTAACCTGACTTCTGCACAACACAACTGATGGTCCCAACCCCATTGATAAAGCAAGAAATTCCACTAATTAACCCTGATAAGGCACACCTGTGAAGTGGAAACCATTTCAGGTGACTACCTCTTGAAGCTCATCGAGAGAATGCCAAGAGTGTGCAAAGCAGTAATCAGAGCAAAGGGTGGCTATTTTGAAGAAACTAGAATATAAAACATGTTTTCAGTTATTTCACCTTTTTTTGTTAAGTACATAACTCCACATGTGTTCATTCATAGTTTGATGCCTTCAGTGAGAATCTACAATGTAAATAGTCATGAAAATAAAGAAAATGCATTGAATGAGAAGGTGTGTCCAAACTTTTGGCCTGTACTGTATGTTGAGATATAATAAAGCTGTTAATACATTTATACTGCACTCCAGTGTGGGCTGAGATTTCTGTATTCTTGAGATGTAAAAAGAAAACCCTCTCCATTAATTTGAAATTTTACATCCACCTTAATACTAACTGTATAGGGTTTATAAGATTAAATTCCTTTGTTGTTAATCACTCATTTCTTAGTGCTTTAAAGATAAGGACTAAGCCATTATAGAAGACACTGCGGGCATGATGACTTATTACAAAGAGGAAAAAACTCAAGCTTAAGGAAGGGTCATAGGTTTTCCCATTAGTCTCATAAACCCACTTATGTCTTGTTGTAAATCTGAAAATACATTTTTAGTATTGTAATGGGAAGCCTACCATGTGCAGGAGCAGGTAGATGGAGTCTCGGTTTTTGCTCTCCATTCTTTCCACATTTTGTCCCAACTGAAGCAGAGTGGAGGAGGCCAGCTGTGGAATAACACAAAGTTAAAAAAGATCAAACGACTGGAACGTTTTTTATACTGTTGGACCCGACCTCAGCTGGGGCAAAGGTTGGCAGTGTCTTGAGAAAGCTCTTAAACTGAAATACTGTCAGAGTGATGTGCCCAAGAAACAATTTATCACTCGTCACATGCCTGTTAGGTTTAAGGCTTTTCTAAGATTCTTTGCACCATGCCATCTGTGCATTCTGTGAAACTATTTATTAAAGGCCCAGTGTGCAGGATTTAGAGGGATTTATTAGCAGATATGGAACATAATATAATAAGTACATTTTCTTTAGCATATAATAGACTGAAAATAAGAATTGTTGTGTTTTTGTTACCTTCTACTGAACTGTTTATATCTACACAGGGAGCAGGCCCTCGTCCATTAAGTCCTCCATGTTTTTTTCCATGTTTCTACAGTAGTTTTTTTGTGTGGTTTTCTACGTAAAACTGCTTTATTCAGTGTTTTACTGGTTTAAATCACCAGGTCTGTTTGCTTTATTTGCAGATAATTCTGCTCCCAGTAAAACCCTCCTGAACAATGAACTCTGAAGGAATACTGACAGGGAGTAGTTGTAGCTGGTTGATCAGCCCGATCTCACTCACAACCTATCAAAGACTGCCGCTGTGTCAGTGGACTTTGGTGGCAGACATCGACGCATAGAGGCACTCTCAGCTGCAGTATGATACACACCGGGCAGCGCCTTTTTCTGATGCTGCAGGCAACCATCATAGTATAAAGTGCGTGAAAGTCTACATAGGGTGGGTGGGAGAGGAGTGGGGCGGGTCAAACAGAATCCAGACTTTCACCCGGGAGCTCCCAGTCTGTTTCCCATGTGAAATGAAATGACAGTTGAGTCATTTTGATAACAAGTACAGTACAGTGGTTCCCAACTGGTGGGTCGTGGTCCAAAAGTGGGTCGCAGGTCTATCATGAATGGACTGCAAGTGGCTGACAAACATATCAAGGTTATATATATATAAAAAAAAAAAAAAAAAAAAAAAAAAAACCCACACACACTTTATTTTTAAGTGCAGTGAATTTCCAGCACAGAGTTTTTATTTTGAAGTATCGTTTCCTGCTGTAGTGTGAGTGACTAACGGACAGCAACTTAACAGAGACAGCAAATTAGCTTGACGACATGGCCAAACCCAAGTATGACACCAGATGTATCACACTGTGTGGACCTTGAGCTAGTGATTGAGGGGGAGTCTTGACCTCATGGCTGTACCAGTTGGGAACCACTGTGCTATGTGTAGCATGCTAGTGATGTTAGCAATATATGTCACGTGATGTTACGTTACGTTAATATCAAATGTACTCTTTTAAGCCGAACCATGATGTTTTTTTCCAAAAACACGCTTTTGGTGCCTAAAAAGAAAAAGTAAACCTGAAAGTAGTGTTCTACCTGTGTTGTAAGTTTATTTTGAAAAGAGACTTTATGCACGTAACAAGTGGAAACTGTACATTTCCCATGAAAACGGAAGACACAATAGCTGTGTTCGAAACCGTCCACTCACTCACTCACTCACTCACTCACTATTCCCTATTTCGTGTTTACTATATAGTGCACTACATGGGGAACGACTGAACGAGATTTCGGACACTAACTGAAATTTTCTGAATGTTGCTGCGTCAGTAGCTGTGCCGCATACTCCTGTGACGCCAGTGGACGCGTCGAGCAACATGTAAACAAACCGGGCGCTTTGAGGATGATCAAACTGTATGGTGGTTGTACTTTTTGTCAATAAATTGTTGAAATGTCAATGGTGTGGACGTTTGGTTTTGTCAGCTACGGTTGTGTGTCTGCATTGTGAGCTGTAATAGCCCACGATAGTACACGAGCTACAAGCTACCTGGCTCGTGCGAGCTAAGTGGCTATTGTTAGCTCGTGAGCTAACGTTACCGGCTAGCATCCTATTCGTTTCTTTTCTCTTAGCGGTTATTCTTCTTCTTCTCCTCTGGCAAAAGACGACCGCATTGCATTGTGGTATACAGGAGTAAAATGTAGGGTACATTGTTTGTTCACTCACATTTGCTGTGCACTGTGGGTATTTTATAGTCCACTATATAGTGAATGAAATTAACCACGGAGAATTCGAACAACACTACAAAATGGCGAACATACTATACAGTGCACTATATCCGTGATAGGGAGCGATTTCGAACACAGCTAATGCGTGTAACAAGCATACAATGACACAATGGTCCTGGGCATCCAAAACTAATGCAGGAGAGATCCTAGTGCATCATAATTTGATGTGTAGGGCCGCTGAGCAATTAGTATGTGATCAGTATTTGGCAAGTTGGAATGAGAGCATGTTGGCTAGATGCCACTAAATCCCCCCCTACATCTACACACTGTTCCTTTAAGTCACTGCACCCTGACCTTGGTATGAAGGATTTCCTTTTAGAGCCCTTGTTACAGGATGCATGTGAACTTTTCAACTGACTAGTGATTTTCCTTTCTAAGACTTCAATTCTTAGAAGCTTGGTAAGGTTAGCTATCCAGTATTACACACAAAATGCAATCACTAGAGAAAAATACAATCTTGTGTAGCAGAATTTAGATTCACCAAGGTCAGCATCAGGTAAACCCCTGAGGTTCATCTTGGGGGTTTACCTGTATGAAATACCGGATGTGTGAAACCAGAACATTTTATCTGACCCTTTTCCATTTTAGTAAGAACTTAATAAAATGTTTTCCACTCACCAGGAGAAACTCCTTGAGGTGCTGCTCTATGTTCTTGTTCTGAACAGTGAACATGGCAGCAGCCAGCTGGTTGATCGCTGTAGCTAAACAGTGTATGTTGTTGTTGTGGCCTGAGAAAATAAAAAAATAAAAAAAAGACACAAAATACAACACTGGCACACAGAGAGAACATAAAGCATGTCCTGTAACTTAAGCCACAGAGAGGATGTTTTCATTGGCCCAACAATTAGAGAAATTTACCCAATGATCCGTAACACTGAACAGGAAGTATACTGAGCGTACTTCCTCAGGCTCACAGGGTATATCTTTCTCTAACATGCCAATGGAAAACAGAGACAAAGAAAATAATCTGAGACAAACGCCACCCTGTGCTTTGATAGAAATCTAGGCTATTTGCTTTTAATGTTGCAGTCCAGGCTCGGAGCCAAGCGGTTAGGGTCAGCAGGGCCACATGCCAAGAGTAACTGTATCGATGCACGTCAGCCGAACTTATCTGTAAACAAAAGTCCCTCAACAGAAACGTGTTTCTCATTAACCAACATACTTTGTTTTGAACCGCGTCAGTTGGACTGGAAAGTCTGATGCACAAAGATGCTAATAAGCCTAATGTTTCAGGGTGGAGTACCTTTTCTTTTACACTCTATCAGCAGCTGGTACGTAATGACTGGAAGAAGGAGCGATTAGTATTTGGTTGTGGTCTGGCAAGCAGTTTGTAGCAGCTGAAAATGAAAGAATCAATATGCACCTCCATGCTCTCGGCTGTAGGAAGAGTTGGAGTCCAGCGCCAGAGTAGGCAGGGACACAGCGATGTACACCAGCAGCAGACAGGACAGCTTGTACTCCTCATCAACTGACATGTTGTCTGCAGAATTTTTCAAAGAAAAACACTGAGTGATGAAAGAACACTCTCTTTCCCCGATGATGATGCCATAGGATCAAACTGTGCACAGGAGTGGCAGTGCAAGTTTTAGTGTTACCTGTCTGCATATTGCTGATAGCTGCGACGAGGGAGGGATCAATATCACAGTTCAATCCTGCAGCAGAGGCCAGCTCAAAAACACTTAGAGTCACCTGTAAGGTCATTAAGCATTTCATGAAGTGCAGCGAAAATAGGCAGTTTAATGGGACAGTTCACAGCAAAATCAAAATTACACACTTTTCTTCTTACCTGCAGCGCTATTTATTAATCTAGATTGTCGTGGTGTGAGTTGCAGAGTGTTGGAGATATCGAGCATAGAAATGTCTGCCCCCTCTGGAACATAATGGAACTAGATGGCACTCAGCTTGTGGAGCTTAAAGGGCCCAATAACATATGTGAAAACTCAGCAGCAATGTCTCTTTCCAGAAATCATGAGCCAGCTACTCAAGAGAATCCACAGACCTTGTTGTGAGCAGTTTCATGTAGGAACTATTTTTTTTTTCTTCAAAACTACATGCGCCAACCGTATAACCTTGTAGACGGAAGCATCCATTTACACATAGACAAGAGGCTTGTGCTCATGACAGCGCATGATGTGAACATTAATGACGTCCTCCCCGGCTGAGCTGTGACGTTAGCTAGCTCTGTGGTGCTAGGTGAGCTGGCATTAGATGCACGCTTTCTTCTGTGTGGTGATACATTTGGAAGGTGTAGTTCAGCACACAAAAAAATAGTTCCTACATGAAACTGCTCACAGCAAGGTCTGTGGATTATCTTGAATCATCACAGCATGATTTCTGGAAAGAGACATTGCTGTTGAGTCTTTCAAATGTATTTTTTTGGCGCATTGAGCACCGCAAGCTGAGTGTCATCTAGTTCCATTATATTCCAGAGAGGGCAGACATCTCTACAGCTGATATCTCCAACACTCTGCAACTCACACCAAAACAATCTAGATTAATAAATTCCACTACAGGTAAAAGGAAAATATATATTTTTGATTTTGGGGTGAACTGTCCCTTTAATGCTTCTGCAGCAAAGATGTGCATAATGCAGACATGAAGTGTAATTTAAACATAATGCACCATTTAAAATTTCATAATTCTGTTGCATTTTATTGCTGAGAAACACCACAAACACACAGTGAATAGGATGCTGGTGTGTACTTTTGTATTTCATGTAGCAGCCCCAGAAGTGATATACTGTATATGTAATAACACTAAATCAGTGGTGGGTGCCTTTGTCTTGACACACAGGTTTTGATCTGGCCCTATTTCTGGTTGCATGCATGGTTGGCCCGTCTGGGCAGAATGTTTCCACTGATGTGGTTTAGACTGCAGAGCTGCAGTGGCCATCAGAGTCTCTCTCACGGAGGCATGAGGGGGCTGCTGACGTCTTTGGGGTTATCCTGGCCCCGGCTGTGGCACGGCTGTCATGCCTCAATCAGAGGCCAGACGTAAGTAAGGGAGGGGGGAGTTCATGAGTCACAGTCACATGGATTGCTCCAGAGGGAGATAAGGAATTTAATTTGGTTGGTACTAGAGTATAGAAAAAGGCTTCTCTGCTACTCTCCCACTCAGATCGACTGTTGCACACTGTCTATTGTGCTACATTATATTCTGCATTCTTAACCTCTGGTGGCAATCAGTCAACTCCCCAAAGTCTCAAATGTAAATATGTTTGGATGAATGTAAATACAATAATATGCCTTCAACCCAAATTCTCCCACAATGAGTCGGCCCTGTGAAAATAAACTGTTAATATACTGTTGATAAACTGTGATTGGATGATTCATGCACAGTGAGAGCCTGATTACTGTACTGCAATTCCTCTGTGGAGACTCAACATATGGATGCTGTTTTTACAGTGTAGCTGTCATACAGCAGTGTACAAGCTGTGCTTTACCTTGATGTCAGTTTCAGGAGAGATGAAGTCTCTCAGGCACTCGATGGGCCCCATCATGTACGGGCAATGCTTTTTCAGGACCTAGATTATAGGATGACACAATGTTACTGAGATCATACATGATGAAGGAAAGACATTATACAGCAAGTGGTCAAGGGCAGTTTTCTTCTAAACTAGTTTCAACTTTGAGGAAAAAAGGAGACGATCTTAGCTCAAGGTCCACTTGCTCAGTTTTCCCCTTAGAGCTTTCAGCTGCACAGTTTGCTCGTCCGTCATCACACAATCCAGATAAGGAGCTTCAGTCACATGACAGCAGGTCAGGTGGTCGTATTTAACTTGTGTATATAATGACTGAGAAAACTCGCTGGTGAAGACTGTGAGATGCAGCTGAAAGCTCCATAAAAGCTGAATCTGTCCTCCTCCAAAATACGACCACATACATCATTTGCACAAGCAGCTTACTACAACCCATATTTACGTTACTGTTATGAAGCAACTTCTTGTGGCCATAGTAATTATGAAGGGAGCAAAGGAGGAAGTCAGGTGATGTAGTAAGAGCAGCAACAAAATCCGCATAGGGAGGAGGTCAGGGTTGGTGGATGGGTCTAAAAGCACAGGACTTACATCCACATAGATCACTGTTCGTGTCCTGTGTGTAAGTCACATGACATTAGTAACAAATGTGGTGTAGCTATGATCTTTTTTTTTATAAACCTAACCAATGAGTTTTGGTGCAGCTGTGACAGTTTCATTCACATACAACTTATTCTGTCCTCTAGGTGTGACACCAGTAGGAGAGTTATTTTAGAAAATGTGAGTGGGTGGTTGTAGCAGAAGGTAGAAACAAAAGGCTCATGTGGTTGTATGGGTTGGAGGACTTGTTGCAGAAGCTAGTAATGAACCTTGAGGATCTTTTTTAATTTTATTTTTTAAACCACTTTTCCCCAAGGTCAAGAAATTTCACTCTTAATTTTAACTTTCCTAATCCATAGAGCATCACAACCTCTTGTCTGTTGTACCTACACTTTATTACAAACTGTTTCATCACAGTATCAGCCATCTAAGAGATTCATATTATCAGAAAATCTTGTTGGCACCCAGACGCTTAGTGGGTAGAGATGGCATCCCATATACGAAGGCAACGTCTTTGTCAGCAATTTAATTCCGGCCTGTGGCCCTTCGCTGCATGACATCCCCTCTTTCTCTCCCCCTTTGATGCTAAGCTAATAAAGGCAAATAAGCCAAAAAACAAAACCTTAAAAAAAAAAAAAAAGAAAGAAAATCATGTTTGACATTACTTCTTTCAGACAGTCCTGTGCCATCGATCTGAAGGACAGGATCACCCCGATGATCGTCATCCTCTTCAGCACATTGTCTCCACCTAGAAGTGCACGTGAAACACATCAGAGTCTGTATGTGAAGCAGTAAAGCAGTCATATGTGACTGGCTGCTACTGTATTGATTTAGGACATGTCATCACTGGGCAAATTAAATTACCATTCGGAAGTGTCTGACAGCTCACTCGGTTATTTGCACTTGAATTAATTTCTTTATACTACTCTGGGCTTTGAGAAACAAAAGCCCTGCTCTACTAGAGGTGACCAAGTAATAAGATTATGTGATTAGGTTTTTATGAGCTTTGTGAACTAAGGGATCTAGAAAGAAAAATGAGCATCAGTGTGCTGATGAATTTGTCATTATAGGCTCAAAAGAAGAGATCAGATGTAGATACACCCGTTCATTTATTAAATTAGCCTTCACATAAAGGTATTTTAAAAGTTTTTTCTTACATCTTTCTCTTTCTAAAAATACTAGCAGCAGTTCACTACACACACAGAGATGTTTCCAGCTTTGCTTCAGTGTCCACACACACTTCTCCTAATGATTTAATAAAAAAGATAATACGTGAGTGTTCGCCTTATGGATCAATGGGCTTTTGTTCCTGACTGACAACACCCTGATGATTTGTAAAAGATGTGAAATAAAGACAATAGGTAGAGCTCATTCATTTCTCTGTCTTACTTAATTTATTTTTTGCATTTATTTACTCTATTTGTTTGTCTTACACCTGACCATGGTGTCTGCAAGTGCTTACAGGAGTTCATTCTTGTCATGTTAGCCTGAAATAATAAGTGACGTACAAAGAACAGAGTCCTACTGGCTGACCAAAGACAGATACATGTGTGTCAGTCAGTGCAGACATGATAAGAGTTTCTGCTTAGAGTGATTCATCTACAGCACTTCTCCTTGGCTTCTTGTTATCGCTCCACTTCTCTGTCGTCATGTTCCTTTCTTCAGTTTGTGTGCCACCTAATCTCCTCCAGTCTGAGTGCTCCACATCTACACCTTTTATTAAATCCGTCCCTTTTTAACCCCCTTCCATTCCGTCACATCTCCTCCCACGTTCCTCTCGCCACTTCTCACCTGTCAGCCTCTTCTTCAGATTGGCCATTTCCTCTGGCTTCTCAAAGTTGTTCCTCATCTGTACCAGGATGTCCATGTTCTCAATCACCAGTTTCTAGCAGAGGACAGGTGAGATAAGTGATAAACCACCTTCAGGTGGGAGCCATGATGGAGAGAGGTCATAGCTTTGACAGATCAATCTCTCAGTAAGTTCAGAGCTGCAGCGGCGTGGCTCCACACTTCAATCAAAGGTGTCAAAGTGGGGAGTCTGACACAGTACAGCAGTAGCAACAGTTATAAAAGAGGTACACGCGTTTGACAAGATAAAAGGAAGCTTTGAAGCACAAACAATGTTTCCAGATCAACAAATTTTGTGTGTAAATTCATCATATTAGATTAAAATTCACTGGAGTGATTCTTGAAGGAAACATTTACATGCTTTACTACTGCTCATAGATTTGACTGCAGTTTTGTAACCTACACATCTTGTATTAAAAAGTTAAGACCTAAATCTGATTTTTTTGGGCGCAGAATGTTTACATTATAATATGTCATGCAATAAAAACGTAGAATGTATAAAGCAGTGTATAAAATAACAGGTTTTATATTTGCATTTGCTAGAAAAAGAGATCTAAAACCAAGCCAAACCTGCCTGGCTGTGTGTACTTCCTGCTCTGGCTGTGCATTGCTGCCCAGGCTGTAATAATTGCACTCTGCCTTAGTCATTTGTACAGCTGAGTAGCCACTGCCATGCAGCACTGTCTGCCACAGAAAAACAGCTAACTAGACAGCTAATGCAAGAGAGCCAACAATATCAAGTAAAGACTAGCTGGTTAGAAAGCTAGCCTCAACTAAAACTTAATTAAACAGTTGGTCTTTCTCTAGCTCTTACTTGTAAATAAAAAAAATATATATCCATTTTGATAATTTCACATATTTACAACTCATTATGTTACTCTGGCTACCATCTCAGGTTTTTGATTCTACTGGAATTTATACGATTTGGAGCCGTTAAGCTTCCTTCAAGTCATATATTTAAATGTATTGAATCACTGTGGTAGTAGTAATAGTAAATTAGTTTATGCGATTGATTCCAATGCAAACATATATATATAGTAAATAAAAAGACAGAAAAAAGACTATTCCTATTAGCTATGGGTTGTAAATAATAAAAAAAAAATGTATGTTCTTAAATTAACTAGTTAAAATGGACATAAAAGCTAAAAGAATGCAATTCAATTTTCTCCTGTGTGTCTTGAAGACTATTCAAAGGCAGAGCACAGTAGCCTATCTGCATATCTTAAGTATAAGACCCTGACACACCAAACTGACGGTCAGCCATCAGATAATGTCGGACCCTGGGTGAGCGTCTGTCACCTGAGTTTTTGCCACGTGTTCCGCACTGTTGGCACTAGTCAGCTCCAGTTGGCCAATAGAACACCTTGGTGTGAGAAATCACTCCCACTCCTCATTGGCAGTTCTGCTCAGTGCACGAGAAGAGAAATGAAAGTGAGGAAAGTAAACATATGAATAAAGTAAGGCTATTTTTTAGCCTTATAGCACTTCAGCTGAAACATCTCGTAATTGATTGTGTTTATGTTTGCTAGCGCATGGTAAATATTATTTGTTACTGGCTCACCTTTTTTCCCCTTTAAGGGCAGTGGCCTTGTGGGTAACCTGCGAGTGGGTGACGTGTGCTTTGTACGTGGAGGGAAGCAGCTCTCTCGGGGTGTCATGGTGAAGATGGCAGGTGGCAAAGAGTGATGATAATCAGTAGAATTAAGTGTCTAGATAAGCTCAGGGCCACTATTAAACCTCATTAGGAAGGCCATGTTTATTGTCTTGTGGTGAAGACTGCAATAAAACCATTGTTGGTGAACGGCACCCGAATGCCTCGCAATCCTTCCTTCTGCAGAGTCGTCCGGACCGCTACAAGCTAGTTACCAGCTAATAACTAGCCAAGCTGTAATTAATGTTAATAAGCTAGCATGTTCCCAGCCCTGGTAAGCTGTCACTGAGAGAGGTAACAATCATACTGTGTTGTTAATGTGCTAACTGGCTAACAAGCGTCTTGAATCTGTCCTGTCGGTCTTCTGGTTTCCCATTTTAAATGACAAATACAGACTATTGCCACCTGCTGGTGTTGAGAGTTAATTTCTTCTAACACAGTGGCAGAACGTATGTGCTAGCTGGCCAATGGCGAAGGCTTCAAGTGCAGTTTTTTGGCTGAGACACAGGCGATGTGAGGCGACACAACAGTTGGCCTTCATCACCACTAGTTCTGTGATGTCAGTTTGGTGTGTCTAGGGCTTTAGGCTTTTTTTGGTGTTAAAATAATCAGGGCACAAAATGAAGGTGTTAAATTTGGGGTGGGTTTTCTCAGCTACACTGCTTCTGATGTTTCTTCTCAGAAGGGCAGCATCTCCCACACACTACAAACAACTACTCATCAAAGCAACCCAGGTGATTCAGCAGGCCACTGATTGCATCATACTTTACCTTGAGCTCACTGACTTGAGAGGTGATGTGCCACATCAGGTTCTCACTCAGAAACTTCAGGCCATATGGACCAATTAGCTCCGCCAGGGCCTGTAACTCTGTTAAGGGTGTGATATGAATAATTAAAACATCATGATTGGAGATGAAATGAGGGAGCAGATTGATGCTGACGTCAAGCAGCCAAGCTTGTTTACAAAATTGCTCAACAGAGCCGAGCTCAGGTGGAGCTGTATTGTTTGTTTCCAGTAGTGTGAGCCTAATACAAAGCCTGACTCTGTACCAGTGACAATACTAAGAAAGGAAAATCATTTAAATTTGATTTATGAGTGTTGCTGAATCAGTGACAGAGAGACAACTGCAGCTATTAGACCTTGCACTCAGCTCGACATCTCTGCCTGGATATGGACGGATAAGATGTGTGTGGTTAAAATTGGAGGTGGTTAATGGATCGGTGAGTGAATCACCGCGAGGCGCGCACATACCTCACTAAGGAGTAAATATAGACAATGATGATGACATTGGGCGGGGGCGTCTGTTGAAGTGCGGTGGTCTCCAAGGTACCGTGTATGTGTGCAGGCCTTATGTATGCATCTCTATAATGTTTGAATGAGGTCTGTAGTGGAGAGGATGTAGCCATAACGCAGCCATAAGGAGGTCAACTGCTCCTACAAGCATGGAGGCAGAATGGGAGGCTGTGTGGAGGAGAGACAAGTGATGCTGGAATAGTTACGAGGCAGGGACGGAAGAGCGGGGGAGATGATAAGCATTACTGAACTTTACATTAACCAGGCAGTGTCAGAATAAACTGCGTGACAAGCAGCGTGAAAGAAAACACCACACACCACCATAATAACAAGCTCTACATCCTCTTGAGCAATAAAGCTCCCTCCGCATGTGGTGTCACAGGAGCGAACAAGATCTGCGAGTTTTTGGAAAGAGCGAGTCATGTCTTGGATCCGTGGGACAAGTGATCATTAAACTTCAGAGTACAGGTACAGGGGAAACTCTGTGATTCTGTCAAGTGTAAAAACATGTGTCTGCAAAAAGTGGATCTCTCTCACTGACGCCTTTTCTCTCTTGTCATGCAAAAGTTCTCACGGAATAACGTGTTAAAAACTGTAGGTGTTTGTTTTTTGGCAAACTTTTCTCAGATAAACTAAGATTCTCCATAACGTGCAGTATTTTGATAGTAAATGACACAAATTTAGTGGACAACATGGACAAGTTCACATTAAAAACCTCTCCAAAAGTTGGAGTTGTTGCTATGGATACTAAGCTCTGCATGTCACTGATGACTGTCATCTGAATTCATTTATCCAACGATGCAACATGCAATTAAAGTCGATGAACAGCTGTATAAACTGTACACTTCTGCAGCTGTGTAATACTTGTCTCCCACCTCCTCAGTCACTCTCTATTAAAAGACAGAGGCGAGGTACTGAAAGACAGAGGTGAGGTAACACTTCTAACTTATTTAATAGAGCTGTGAGCATTCATCCAGCTAAAATGACAGATGAACCTTACAGCTCAAATTGACATACTGATTTATGCTACAGAATAAATGACTGTAATAAAGCTCTGGGGCCCAACCTGCTATATCTGAAAACTCCTCTGCTCTGAAACTTGGCTCGTTGTCAGTAGTCTGGTTGACAAAGCAGTGCATCGTGGGACAGTGAACGATGAGGGAGTTGCTTGCCTGACGCAAGAGACTCTCCAGGAACCTGAGATGAAGGAAAAACAAACAGAACTTAAGTTCCTCAGCCTTTACTCAGCAGATGTTTGAATTACAGAGAGAGTGAAAGTGAGTGACAAAGAAAAGGGGTGAGAATAACGGGACTTACAAAAATTGGTGCAAAAAAAAATCAACAGAATGGAGGAAATTCAGTGTTTGATGTTCAAAATTTTCTGGCAGAGGACCCTGAAATCCCCCATTTCACATGTGTGTCCCCCAAATGTTGAAACAAAACCCATACCCTTGAATATATGCCTGCATGATGCTTCCTGATACGTGATGTTTTGTCATATTTATTCTGTCATTCAATTTTCATGAGTTTGTCAGTCAGTTTGTTCCTAATGACTTCATATTATTGATTTCTGTGTCTGTTTTAAGTTCTGTTTTAGAAGTACCCATGTATTGGGGTCCTATGAAATATTTTCACCCTTATATCACCTATGCAGTTTAAATAGATGGAGTTCATGTATGCCATGAGTCCTAACTTAAAGTATCACACATTGTTAGAAGGGTAGCAGGCTTCCAGGATGTGCACTGGATTTTGAAGCCAATTTGACATAGTGGCCAAACCATGTAAGTACACTTCAGGTCCATGACATGATGCCATGGGGCCCAAAGAGACTTTTTTTAGACTTACATTGTGAAAGAGACATCTGTTAATCAGTGAATACATTTTTTTGAGCATCACAACTCCTGCAAAATGAATTGTTTCACTATCTGGATTTGATTCATTTGGTCCAATAATTTTCTGAAAGTCTAGAGGAGCCATGCGATCAGATAAATTTTTTCCCATTTAGTGGAAAGCTAAGCCAGAGGTAGCTGGCTCGCCGGCCGAGTAAGTATGGCTGCGGCTGGAGCAGCTATGTGACTCATCCACCATACCTACACATCTGCCCCCTTCGTCCCTTTGGCCTACAGGCAGAGATACAGTTAAAGCTACAGACACATTCCATTTGTAGCGTACATGATACACCCCTCTAAACTGCGCCCAACACTAGTACGAGACAAACCCATTACACTTACCCTTACTTTAACCACCTCACTTTTAACCAATACTTCATAGCCTGCTAAATGCAAACTTAGCATTTTCTTTAAGGCTTCCACTTTGAGACATGTATAGCTGCAGACAGATTCCATGGGGTTGATGATGTTGAAGTCAGGTATTTTAAAGAAGATAAACACAGATTCCCTCATGTGCTCTGACGATGACCCTGAATACTGCTCTTCCTACAGTAAGATGACAGTAGCCCAGAGTGGACAAACCAAACACTGGCTCTAGATAGGACCTGTCGTGTTTTTGCGTTGGCCACCATAGTTCTCTTACACACTTGGACCCTTTAGAAGTTTCTGTTGGTTGCAATCTGTAAACTCACCGCAAGATGCCACCAAATCCTAAACATTAGACCTCTAAGTGTAACTTTCCTAAAAAAATAATAATAATCTGTTTTTACTAGATGACATTAAATTCAAAACTAATGAGGTTTCGAGAAGGTTTAAGTTAACATTTTGCTGTGATGGTTATTTCTTACTGTTGTTTTTTCTTGGGGTCCTCAGGGACCCCATCTGAAGTCCTTGTGTGCTAAATTTGTTGGTAGGATGAAGGTTAAATGGACACTTGTATGCAGCATACAGTAGATACAGCTCTATATATTACACACACCAGTTTGTGTAGACAGTCGTGATGGTCTGCCCTCCACGGGAGTCCAGGGGCTGTGTTTGCTGCAGCAGGACGTTTTTCACCAGCCGGGTGACATCCACATTGATGTAGCTGGAGAGGCAGTGCAGGCTGGCTGTATAGGCTCTTACCCCTGCCAGCAGATCCGAAGGACGGGCTATCTCCTGGGTGGTCTGGTTGTAATTGGCCATTCTCACGATGATCCTGGACAAACATGTTTAACCAACGTCATTTATAACCAGGCCAGAGTGGGCTGAGAGCGGACAGATGGGACCTTAAAATGGCTTAAACGAGCCATGGTGGCATGGTACTATACTCTCATTAGGTCAGCACATTCACCGCTCCAGGGCGTCACTGCAATTGTATTTATTTTCTGGCAGGGCCCTTCGTTCTTGCTCTTCCTCTCGCTGACTAGACTGGATTTACAATTTTGGCCATGGAGGGACCAATCACCGAGAGCTTGCTGCTACTCAAGGGTGCTAATTTTAGGGTGACAGGGGAGATAATCATCAGCTAAGACAGGGAGACTAAGCAGAGCATACACACAGAAACATTAGGTTGCCCTGGTACCAATCCCTAATCTAAATAACAGTTAGTACTGAAATGACACAGAGCAAGGGAGTGACATGATGAATCTCTTCGCAGATTTTTAAGTCAGTGCAGCACAGTCTGACACGGGGGAATCGGATAGAAACGCAGGGTTCATTATAGTGATGGAGGAGACATTTCACAAGAGACAAGCTCCAAATGATTCCCTAATTGTCAGGACAAAAAAATGTGTGCAAATCTCTAAGTGACAATTGGAAAGGATGCGGTGTGAGATGCCTCTGAGGTCTCCCAGCACTCTGTCACATCCTGGTGTTTAACATTTCAACAGCCCCTGTTCAGCAGGGAGGTCAGCACACTGGACAGTGTGAATGTAAGCAGTGTGGACATGGAGTCAAAAACAGGGAAATGATGGTGCTTTGTTAGTACACTGAGGTACAGTCGCACAGCACATTTACGCACTGGCAGAGGAAACAATAATACATCGACAATGTGTTCCTTTCACAATGAAAGTGGGCGCTCGTGTCAGTTATTAGCATATTTCTGACAGTAATTGTTTACGGAGCCGCTGAAGTGACACATGCAAAAAAATCTAAGCTCTACTGCTGCACATGAGATAGGGGAAATTGCAAATGTCACCTCAGGGACTTTTTACACACTTTCAGGATCATCATCCATCATCCACATTTATTGGGACACATGGTAACACTTTATATTAAAACAAAAGATGGTAAGTTTTATTAAAAAAAAGGAACTTTTTGTATATTTGCTGAAGCTGTCACTGTATTAACACAGATAATCTGACAGATAATCTGTGGAAAAAAAATCATACTCCTCTGCCTACTCTATTGCCATGTAGTGCTTCTAATAACTTGACTGTATGTGAACGAAAACAACCAGTCAACACTGAGAAGCCCCGGGGCGTCGGTAGTGTAGTGGATAGTGCCGGCACCCCATGTACAAAGGCATCGCCTTGCCACAGTGGCCGCAGGTTCAAATCCGGCTTGCAGCCCTTTGCTGCATGTCAGTCCCCACTCTCTCTCTCTCTCTCTCTGTCTCCCCATTTCACTCTCTGTCCTGTCAATAAAGGCAAAAGGCCCATAAAAATAATCTTTAAAAAAAAAACACTGAGAAGTCTCTAACGCAGCTGTCAATCATGTCAGTCATGGCTTGTGAACTGCAGTCAAACTGTCAAACTGGGAAGCACTGAGCAAATGTAAGAGATGCTGTTACTGCATCCTGTTTCTCATCTCAGATCTTTTTGGCCACATATTTTAGCGTACTGCTTAGCTGTAAAATAAGAATGTTAGTGACCTGGCCACCATGTTGGATACATTTAAATGCAGGAGACACAAGCACTGCCCGCTAGCTGGACAAACTTTCTAATTTTATAGCGAAACAGGACACTGAAATATGTCTCTGAAAACATTTGAGGTGAGAATAGGCCACGCTGTAACAGAATCTTGATTCATATTTGATCAGCGATGCCTAGTTTGACAGTTTGATCACAGTTCATGGAATGATTGACATGACTGACAGCTGCGTTAGAGACTCCTTGGCTCTGATTGGTTGTGGCTGACCCCGCCGTGGCCTGATTCTACTGAATGCCATCAGAGGCAGTAGCAAGAGGAGTAGGGACATTTTTTTACAGACTATCTGTCTCATGTACGTCTGTCAAACATAGTGACAGTTCATGAAAGTTACCATCTTTAGCTTTAACAGACCCTATTCTTAAGTGATGAGGCAATACATTTTAATAGATGTGTTTGAAAATCTCTGAAGTGGTCCATTAATAAAGGGATTTTTTCTACATGTGCTGACTTTGTTCTAAAATACCACCATTTTCCATCACTTAACCTGCAATCGTATAAGGCCCATACTGAGCAACGCACATTAAGATCGTAATTCGTGTTCAACAAGTTCCTTATTTCTTATCAATAAGCAGTAATTAGAAGGTTATTGGGAGGAAACTCTTAGTTGATGGTCTAGACGCTGTAGAATATGGTCATGCAGAATAAGACATTTAGCCTATAAGTGCTTTATAATGACAATAAAGAACCAATATGCTACTAATATGCATGCTACTAAGCAACTAGTTATCAGACACATATATTAATGCCCCCATTCCCACTCAGCATACTCAGAGAGGCGTGTCTCCAGATGAGAAAGGAGGAACTCTGTGGGAACAACGATGTGGTTGAAGACAATAAAGTCACTGCAGAGGCCGTAGGAGGAGCAGAGCTCTGTCAGCATCAGGTGCATCTTGTCTATACTGGAGAAGAGAGACACAGAGAGAGAAATGGAAGTCTTTAGGAACTTAAGACAAATATTTTGACAATGACTGTAGTATGAACACCCTTTTCTCAGGCAAATAAGGTAACAACATGAGAACTGTAAAACATCTCCAGACTGAGGCAGTGGCGGGGGGAAACTGAGAGCAGGGAGAGAGACAGTATTACAACTCTTCAGAATTAATTAGTGAGCTTTCTGACTGTGGCGACATATAGAATATGATCAAAACAATGAAGATGCCAACTTAAAATGAGCTGCCAGTAAAAGCGTTTTCTTTTTTTAATGCACCAAGGTGTTTTGTTTCTTATTATATTACACTGAATATAGTCTGATTCAGTACCTGTCAACCCCGATTCTAGTTGACGGGTAATAAAGTTCAGAACAAATAATGCCTTGTTTGTGAGAGCATTTTAATCCTGTCCTCCTGATAACAGGAAAGAAGCTGGGGTGAATAAAGTCATTTCTAAATGTCAGCAGAAATTAGAATATTTCTACCAACATGAACTGCATTAACCTGCCTCAGACCTTGGCAGAATCATCCACTGCTGAATGTTTATTTAACTGTACTTTGACCAGAAAAAGTGATGGTGATAATGCTGCATGTCTCCAGAAATCAGAGATGTATTAAAGGTCCAGTGTGTAGGATTTAGGAGGATATACTTGCAGGCCTGGAATATAATAAGCATGTTTTCTTCCGTGTATAATCACATGAAAATAGGAATAATTTTGTTTTTGTTACCTTAGAATGAGCCATTTATATCTACTGTACATAGGGAGTGGGACCCCATCCACAGAGTCCACCATGTTTCTACAGTAGCCCAGAACAGACAAACCAAACACTGGCTTTAAATGGGGCCATTTTGTGTTTTGCGTCTGCCACGATTTTTTTTCTTGTGAAACTGCTGGATTCACTGTTTTTACCGGTTTAAATCACCGCGTCCATTATCTGCTGATAATTTGGCTCCGGGTGAAAACCTCCTTAACATCTGGGACTGGTTGCACAAAGCACCTTAAGATTTCCTTTAAGTCCGAATTAAGGTTTCCTTTTTTTAAAAAAAAAAAATAGTTGCACAAAACATCCTCAAGTCTTCTCTTTAAGGTTTCCTTAAAATGTTTACTTAAGAATTTATGTTTATGTCCGTATCTTGGTCTTATACTTAAGGAATTGCTGAAAGTTTGTTAAACTATTGCACAAAGAAGCTTAATAACTAAAGTAAGGACAAGAACATAAAGTACCTCTGACTACATTTTAATTGCAACAGTGTTATTATTCAGTTTATTTTGGAGAGGAAGAGACCTTTGCAGACAATTCGGCTCCTGGTAAAAAAAGAACCTCCTGCACAATGAGCACCGAAGGTGAGTGGGAAAAGTTTCAGCTGTTGTAATCTGCAGCCCTCACCCCTAGAAGCCACTATATCCCCCTAAATCTTACACACTGCTCCTTTAATTTTGCTCACTTTTCTAAAAGGAAACTTTTCCTAAGGATCAAGCAGAGAGAGATAAGTCAGGAAAGTGGGAAAAACAAAAAGAAAAGCTGACTTGGTAACAACTGTGCGGTCCTTCCTCAGGCTTTCAGCGCCCGGTTTCTCTTTCTGGACCTCTCCCTTCTTTGGCAACGGCTTCTTTTGCTTTCTATGGCGAGCTGCGCTGATGGTCTCGGCACAGTGCTTGGGCTGCAGCTGAGGGGTTATCAAGTGGAAAGAGGTGGATGCAGAGACGGAGAGAAGGGGAGGGGAAGAAACAGAGAGAGAAAGAGGGATGAAGAATTCAGCCAAGCAAATATTGGGTAACATGCTCAAATACAAACATGGGAGTTTTGCATTCACGTTGGAAGCACTCAGTCAAAAAGTAAACACTCCTCATATTTTCCTCCAGGGATTAGAGAAACAACACTGCATTAATCAACTCCAGAATTTTAGACCTGTATTATCATTTTATTCAAATTCTCAAGTCTGTCCACTGCCGCCAGCTAAACCCACTGATGCCAAGCTGGGACTAGTGTGATTATATTTGGATATGGAGTTTGGCAGAATCAATCTGCGCAAGATAATGAGTTTTTTTTGAAGAACCTGAAATAGCCTTCACCTGGTCATTGAGGTTGCACTGCTCAGCACATATCTCTAACACAACACCGCTGGTCTGCTTGGCCAACTGCTCCAAGAAGGTCACACACAGGCGCAGAGTCTTCTTCTCCATTGCCTCGGTCTAGAAACACAAACAAGTGCAGTGTGTGTGAGCACATGTGAAGGAGAGTCAAGCATGTACGAAACCACACACACACACACACACACACACACACACACACACACACACACGAAAATAGAAGGCATATTTTCACCCATAATCTCCCAAACTACATTTAGCTTACTGTGAAGGAGCTGTTTCATGTCCAGTGTTTCAAACGGCATGTATACCTATGACTTAAAAGTTGTCATTTGAATAAACGGCATGTTGCTGTCATGATGCAGACGGTGACGTGAAAGTGTTAGGGATCAAACTTCATGCAGAGTGTAACCAGAGTCTTCAATGCGTCTCAGCTGGTGATTAATGGCTTGTTAGGGAAACAACTGAACACTGACCTCTTCTGGGCAGAGAGGGTGTCCACACTGGCTGAAGTGAGAACACGCAGCTGGGAAGGCCATGAGGTAACGCTTCATGGTCACCTCCTCGCTGCTCTGGCAGAACATCTTCTCAAAGACACGCGGGTAGTAACTGAGAAACAAACAGGAGAATAAACAGTTGAGACATCTTGAATTTGTAAGAGAAGAGAAGAGAAGAGAAAAGAAGAGAAGAGAGGAGAAGAGAAGAGAAGAAGAGACTGACCCGAGAATGGACACTTCAGATGTCTCCTGCAGAAGTTCATCCACGCTGTCCACCATCCTGGTGTGAAATTGAATCATGTTCATCACCTTCGCCAAGTCTGGGTACTCCTTTAGTGGAAGAGGGGCCTTGTTCACACTTGTGTAGGCCTGAAACAGAAGAGAAAGAAAACCTAAGAGTGGTTTTACAATGATAACTGAATAAAGTGTGATATTTGATTATGTTTTAACAAACCTATCTACCTGCAATCTCAGCCAGTCCAGTCTCAGAGCTCTGAAATCAAACTCCTCCTTGTTTTCCACTGCAGAGTAAAACTGAATCCATCACTGTTCATCATTTCTCATGCCAATTTTAAATGTATCTACAGAAGCTAAAATAATCTGCAGCGTGTTTTTTGTGATACCTTGTTTGATTGACAAAGCAGACAGGGTTGAAACGAACGAAGTCATCAGGACCGACTCCTCTTCTGGACACACATACATGTTCTGCAGAGGAGAAATACATGTATGTATTAATGTTGAAGAAGAAAAACATTGAATGCTTTCAGTATTAAAAATGTTGTTTTTTCCCTCTGTGCCACTTTCTGCACCACAATTATTGAAAGAAAAATACTCTGAATTTTATGTTACACATTATACTGTATAGTACATCTACACTGATCAGCCACAACATTAAAATCACTGACAGGTGAAGTGAATAATATTGATTATCTAATTACAATGCAAGCTTCTGTTGGAAAACCACACCACAAAAACTGCTCAAGAACAGGCCAAGAAATGTGACAAAGAGCTCAAGGTGTCGACCTGGCCTCCAAATTCTTGAGATCCCGATCTGATTGAGCCTCCCTGGAACGTGCCGGGAAAAACTCTAATAAATGAAGAATCCACCTCAGCCCACAGGACTCAAACGTCCCGTTGTCAGACAGCAAATGACAACCCCAGAGGTCCTGTGTCTGGGCCTCGACAGGTCAGAGCAAAGCCAGATCTAAGGGACCAGGACTTCACTGATGCTCAGATTAGGATCTGGGGAATTTGAAGGCCAGGTCGACACCTTGAGCTGTTTGTCATGTTCCTCAGGCCATTCTTGAGCAGTGTGGCATGGTGCATTGTCCTGCTGAGGGGGCCACTGTCATTAGGTAGTGTCACTGCAATAAGAGGGTGTACAGAGACGAGGTCTGCAAATTGATAGAATGGTGTTCAGTGAACAACCTGTCACTAAAGATCAGAAAGACAAAGGAGCTCCTCGTTACCCACATCAGCGAGGACCTCAAGTGGACTGTAAACTCCACTGCTCTGGTGAAAAAGGCCTGAGAGAGACTTCCTCAGGACGCCGAGGTGATCCAACCTGTCTGCAAAATAACTTGTGTCTGTCTACCACTGCTCAGTGGAGAGCATCTTGACGTACTGCATCACAGCCTGGTATGAGAACTGTTCTGCGGCAGACAGGGTGGCTCTCCAGAGGGTTTTCAACACAGTGCAAAAAAAAATATTGGACTCCCCCTGCCCCCCCTTGAAGGCATCTACAGGTCTCACTGCCACAGTAGAGCCTGCAGGATTGTTATAGGCAGCACTCACCCCTTTCATCTCCTGGTCACACTGCTGCCCTCTGAAAGACACTATATAGTCCTGAAATGCTGCACCTCCAGACTGAAGAACGTTTTTACCCCCCAACCACACACAAACTGAGCTTCCTCCAAAATCCCCATCCCTCCCCCACCACCACTACAACAATTTTAAATTGCACTACCACAGACAGATGTACAATAGCTGCATATGCATTTAATCTTGTCCATTTTATAGCACCATATTTTAGTGTGTGGGTATGTGAGTGTGTGTTGAGTGTATGGAACAGTTTTTCTTTCATGACAGACAGCAAATTTTGTCATATGTGAACATGCAGCAACAATAAAGGCATTCATTCGTTCATTTATACTATTTGCAACAGTGTTTGGGTGGGTGGTGCATCCATGCAGCATCCACATGAATGCCAGGACCCAAGGTTTCCCAGCAGAACATTGCATTGTAACAAGATGATCAATGTTAATCACTTCACCTGTCAGTGGTTTCAATGCTGTGGCTGATCGGTATATATAAACAAGTACCTGTATGGTGTCATTGAGAACCATGGCATCGAACTGTGCCAGGTACTGGATGTGGTAGCGCTGGACCACATGGATGTACTTTGTCATCAGACCTCTTAACTTTTCCATGTGGAACAGCAGCTCTGCCATCTGACTGTTAAACAGAAAAAGCAAATTAACACCAAACATATTCACCTTTTATTAACTTTAACAATAAAAGACAATGTAAACTCTCTTGTGCACACTTTAGTTGCAGTGAGGTAGAACTTGCTAGCTTGCATACTTTTGCACACAGAAATAACAATGTGTGACCTCCACAGTGGTTAACTTCCTCTGCACCTATGACCTACTTGTCGATGTAGTCCTCGGGCGTCTTTATCTTGGGCATATTCTCAGAGTGTCTGACGAGCCACAGGACCTCGTCACGGGAAAATGACAGAGCCATGAAGACAAACAGGGCCTTGGGGATTTGATTGGAACAGGGAAGAAGAAGGAATGTTAGGAAACAGTCTCAGCTTACTTTAGTAAAAGTCATGATTGCTGTGAAATGTAGGGTCATTCAAAGACATTCCCCCCTCCTGTCCAAATATTCCCCAGAGTCCAAGTTCAGGATGGCAGCTGGATCAAAGGTACTGTTTTTCATTGGTCATGTGACCAGAATTTCATTTTGGACTTATAACTCGCAGTAATGAACTCATTTAAATTCCTCATGCACAGCTGTTATGCTCTTTACTGCACTTCTACCTTTGGTCCCAGAAGTCCAGGTTCATCCTCCAGAACTTTATATAATTCCCTCAGCGCTCCTCTCAGGAACTGCCTCCTCTCTCTGTGCAAAGCTCCACTAGCAATAACACAGGAAATGGACATGAATGTTTGGTTCCCACAGTTCATTTCAAAGTAAATACACACCAGTGAATATTTATGACACAAAAGTTGTAAAAACTTTACTGAGTTTCCTGCCAGTCTCACCTGTTGAGTAAAGCATGCTCACGACATTCCTTGATGTCTGCAACTCGCTTGCTATATCTAAAAACAAAAACAAAGAAAGAAAGTGATGAGAAGCCAATGAAGCATCTAAATATTTAAAGCAGTCATGGATTGATTCACTACAGTGGCCAAAGAATATCGACTCTACCATCTTTGAATTGGTATGTATTAACTTTTCAATGGAATCAGTTTTTATCTTCTGAAACAATTATGAAGAAATACATAATCAGTAATTACTATACTGTAAGCTGTAGTTTATATAATCCACGCTTTTTTCTTCTTTAATTTTATTTGCACACACATAAAACTGCATAAAATCAATATGATAAAAAATGAGAAATGTGTCAAGAGAGGTCAAAAAGCCACAGACTTGAACAACGGACCACCTCTCAACTTCGGGAGAGAAAAAAACAATTAAAAGAGCAGAAAAATAAAAAAGAATTAAGCTTATATAATTTAGAAAAATACAGCAAAGATACATGATGACAAGAAGAAAACATAAAAGACACATAGTAACATGTAGAAATATAAGAACACCTATGCACAATGACAATAACCAACAGACTCATTCATCCTTGTACTTAAGAGAGCTTTAAAATCAGGCAAAGAGAACAATTCACTGAGTTTCACAGAGTTTTTTGAAGGTTATTCTAACGTGAGAGGATCAGAGTACATAAAAGCTTACTTTCCCAGCTCAGTCCGTGCACGAGCAACAGACAAAACTAAGTCTTGAGATCTCAGACTGTAGCTGCAGTCAGATCTCTGATCTCTGTTTTAAGTTGGTCACATAAAAAATAAATACTCTTTTTCTCAATAGTACTCTACTACTCTTAGACATGTTGAAAATATATTCTCTAATGAACAAAACTCTGTGCTTTTGCATTAGAGTTATATTGCGTTGCCTACTTTGAAAACAGCGCTGCTAACTATGTTTTCAAGTGGTTGCTCCGAAATTGTTTTTACCAATACAATGTTGTTTATTACAAACATTCATAGATAACATTCATAATTTTCTTAATTGGATAGATGTTTTTGGCTTCTAGGATTTAGAATGTCACCTAAGGCCACTGTTGGTTCTCTATATGCTTAGAAAGGGCGGGGTGACGGGAGGGGTGTCCAGCTGGTTGCAATCTGCAACTTCACCGCTACAGTAGATGTTACTAAAGCCTAAACACTGCTTCTTCAAGGCCTCTAATGTTGGCTCAGTGCAGGTCTTTATTATTCAGCTTCAATGAAGAATCAAAGAGACCTGTCCTAAACACTGCAAGACTATTTAATCCATTCACATCAATTCTTATTCATCAACTAAGACTATTTCTGACAGTTGTATACTGTAGCCGTGCATGTTACGTACCCTTTGATGTTGTCGAAGAGGTCCTCTGAGACCTTGTGTATGTTGAGCACCTCGTCTCTGGTGAGGATGAGGTAGAAGCCGCTCCGCAGAGCCATCTTCCACAGCTCCTGGGAGGCCTGGTTGGTATTCAGGCTGCTGTGGCACAACAGGAAGCCGACTGCAAGGGGCACAATCAGCAACATTAAAGATGCAATCTAAAATGCTGCTAGTTCTGCATGTGACAACACAGTGCTCCTGTCTTGTTTACAGTCATTTATATGCATTGTTAACTGGTGATGCCTCTGAAGGGAAATTCATCCACAAAAAACATTCTCCTATGAATGCTGCTGTTGTGTATAGTTCTGCTTTTTCATATGTGATATCATTGTGTATGAAATGTGTCTCAGCTACAACACGACAAACAAATTAAAATGCTGCATCATGTTTATATATTTATATTAAAAGATAAAGTAAATAATCATTCAAGATGAGTAATACTCACTAATGATCCACCGCTCCATCACCTCCATAGACAGGTATTCACATGCCATCTGTGGTGAACAACACGTTTATTAACTGCCAATACAGACACATTCACTACAGCTGTGCATGCACTAAACCAGTGATTCCCAACTTGTCCAGCCACGGGGTCCAGATTTCTCTGTAGTCATTTGTTAAAGGTCAGTTAAATGTTATTTAGCATCATACTTGCATTTGGCCATGCCACTGAGCTAGTTTGCTGTCTCTGTCATGTAGCTGTCCATTCGTCACTCACTCTACAGCAGGGAACTGCACTTCAAAGTAAAAGCTCTGTGCTGTAAATTCACTGTACTTCAAAATTAAGTGTGTTTTTTACAAACTGGACAAGTTCGCAAGTCACTTGTGGCCCATTCAGAATGGACCCAGGACCTACTTTTGGACCAGGACCCACCAGTTGGAACCACTGTACTAAACCCACTGTATGATGAAGTACAATCCTGTCAGTTAAACTATATGGTAGCCATCAGCATTTTCATTGCTACTCTGTTCCTCCACCTTCAAAAGATAATTACATTTTTTTCTGAGATTAGTCACCATAAAAACCCTCTGTACATCATGCACAGTATTTTTTCCTCCTGAAAATACTGACCTCCCTAAATGTGGTTTAAAAAATGCACATCTAATAATATAGAGAGCTTTCAGTATTCTCTATAGACTTTAAATGAGTGGCCATCTTTTGCTCTCAAATATGTGGTGTCTTTTGATAAGAAATTGCTGCCTGGAGGTTCCTTTCATGGCTGGACGACTGAAGTGGTTATTATATGAGGAAGCCACAGGCAATAGGGATCATAACATTACATCACAGGAGCTGTAATGGCCCGTGCTCAAAGACAGCAGAGAGACTGAGGACTGAAATGTGCAGAAAATGGAGATAGGAAGAAATAAAAGTTCAGGGATGAGCAGAGAAAGGTCAGAAGACAATAAAATAAATCATTTTCTAAATGATAGCTCCGTAATGGAAGGACATTGAACTACTAATGTTAAATTGATTGTATCTGACCTTCAAGACAATACTTGCACTGTTATTGTATAATTTAGCCCTGACATATTCTCTCATTACTGTGGCTGACATCACTGGAAAAACATGAGAGATAAATACAGGAGGAGATGGGAGGGCGGACTCACAGTGTCACAGCAAGCTGGGTCCAGCATGGCAGCTGGAGCACTGAGCAGGCTGAGGAGCTGGGCACTCCGCCACTGCTCTGCTGGCAGGTTCCTGCGTGGGTAGACCATCCTCAGAGACAGCAAGGCCGCCGTCACTGACTGGGAGAGAGACAGAGAAGGAAATTGAATGAGTGAGCTGAAGAGAGGCAAAGATAAAGGAAGACGCAAAATGACAGAGATACAGATAAATGCCAACACTTCATGCCTAATTATAGTGAAAACGAGCTGGAGGCTGAAAATCTGTGGTTTAATTTTGTTGCATATGGGCTTATCTTAATGATCCACTACACAGACCGGTGTAGCTGTCACTGTTAAACTAGAAATACCACCTCGCAGCTGTATGCCTGCGCACACCACTCAAGTTGCACTTACAGTTTACACCCATGTCTGTGAAAACATGGATGCTTCACACACATCTTCCCCCCTGGCAGCACAGACAATCTATAACATCAGCTAAGTGTCAAGGTAGACACCCCAGAAAAGTGTCACCAATTCAGTATATAACCAAATGTCTCCTCTTCTGTTCTGATATGATGTCGAGTTATGGTCAGAATATGTTATATGCAGAACATTGTGATGTCACAGTGGAGCTGACCTTTGACCTTTTGGATATAAAATGACATCACTTCATCATCATATACTATTCGAATGAATTCTTGAGTTATGGCCAAAAACATGTTTTGTGAGGTCACAGTGACCTTTGACCTCTGACCATCAAATTCTAATTTGTTCATTGTTGAGTCCAAGTGAAGGTTTGTGCCAAATTTGAAGATATTCCCTCAAGGTGTTTGTGAGAGATCTTGTTCAGAAGAATGAGATGGATGCAAGGTGACATTGACCTTTGACCACCAAAATCTAACCTGTTCAACATTGAGCCCAAGTGAAGTAATACATAATTTGAATTTCCCTTGGTCCCACTTCAGGGAAGTCTTAATTCTGCAGCACACAATAATATTTTAGACAAGTGTGCTTCCAACATTGTGGCAACAGTTTGGTAAGGACACTATTTTAACATGTGACACATCCGGTGCACAAAGCAATGACCATAAAGAAAGTATTTCAGTTTGGTATGGACCAGTTAAAGCTGTAATTACAATCATTTATTCTGGTTTTCTATGAATGAGAGCATGTATTTAGGTCTGATTGATCAATTGACTTTTCAAAATAAAGCCAAAAAAGGTTGTTTTTAGATGTAATTAATAATTATAGTGGCATGTGCATTACATTTAATGAGTTTTACAGTTACCTCAGAGGCACAGATGGCATACAAACCTAAAATAGCCAATCTGGAAACTTTGCCTTTACATACCCCTACTAAAATCTCTCTAAATTGCATCTGCATCTGTCTATGCATAGGTAACATTCAGATGTTGTCATCTGGTTTGCTAGAGTTTTTGGGCTGCAACTGCATGATTCCAAAGTGTAATGTTTTGTTAGGCAGAGATAAAATCTTTCATTTATTTTGTCTTATTTCTTCATTTACTCTGACCCAGCAACATCTGCATGGATGCTTAAACCTTAAACCTCTGTAGTAGTGTCAGTCAGTGAGGTCATGTCACAGTGATGGCAGCACGGAGTAGTGCAACAGCTTGGAGCTCTCTGGACTGGTGCCCTGTTTTGGTGTTTTTCCTTTGTTATCATTGTGTTTATTTTGTTGTTGTGGTGTCTTGTTTAACATAGTGACTAATTTTAAATTTAATTTAATAAAATGTATATTATGCACCACAGGGAGTTTGAAATTCCTTTGTATGCTTGCTCATATAATGACAAATAAAGTTCTTCTTCTTCTTCTCCTACACTGCAAAGTGTAAGTGTTAACTTCATTATGATACCAAGATTATTCATTGCAGAGAAATAATTCATTTTGGGCATGTAATTTTCCAGCAGAGGCCTAGAGAATAAGAGGTTTAGCCACAAATCAATAATACTGCTTTTGGAATGAGACATTCAACCATCACAATGTTTGGGTGGTCACACAGTACCAACACATCACCCTCGGGTGTTCTGGTGTAATAAGACAAAACAAATGGGTGTATCATTTAGTATTTATGTTCTGTGTTTAAACATTTAAACATAAACAAAAATGTCAAAACAAAGTTGAATAAAACTGAACATTAAGTTTACTTTACTGTGCCACCATCCACGTTTCAGTTACAGCAAATCATCAGCTGTTTATTGATGCACCTTTGTGCTGTGCTGTGTGTAAACAGTGACACACTGAGCTTACCCTTGTGTGAGGGCCAAACTCCTCAGTGAGCTTCTTCCAAGGATGATCATACTCCACAAACATCTGGCCAAGCCGCGGGTAGGAGGGGTCGCTGCAGGATACATTACAGTGTGCAGTTAATCAAGAAGGAAAAGAACTAATACGTTATAATAATTCCCAAAAACGTGTCAATCTAGAATTTCATTGGTGATAAAAATGTATATAAATGACATAATTTTCTACGGCGTCAATTGAGTGGCTGACATAATGAAGAGCTGAGACAGTTCCCTCTCAAGGGGTCTAGCTGTGTGTTGGATGTGCAAGTCAAATGTGACATTAAAATGTACAGTATGTGTTTGTTTTCCCTGCTCACGTGTCACATTGAGATAAGCATCCTTTTGAAGGGGAATAAATAAATATCATGCAAAGAGGGCAGACTCAAAATGTCAGATCACCACTTGGCACTCAGGAAAGGTTGATGGTGGGCCGTTGATGTCGGAGGCAATTAAGATTGTAATTAATAATGAGGATGAGAGAAATGGTGGTATTGATGGATGTGGAAACTCGTAATGGATTTCATTAAAGCTCTTAAATGAAGTGTTTGTCGTAGATAAAAAGCTGCACTCAGCAAATGCAACTTGACTGAATACTATTTTGATCAATCCGGGTGAGTGAATGGAAAACACATCCATCAGTTTACTTTGAACTCCATGTATGGTGTCGCTTCCTATAAGCAGTGTCATGTTTTCTCACCTGCTCCCATTGGTCATCTCATGAGCACAGTTGAACATGCCCACCAGTGCCTTCTTGTCATCGATGCGGGAGAGCGTTATGATCACAGATGTGTAGGTGATGATCAGATCCAAGTAGTTCTTGGTGAAGTCAAAGTTGACTGCCTGAAATCAAAATTCCAGTGTGACTGTCTAAGTTTAAAAACATCAAACCTTTTTTCAGGGTTTTTTTAAGTTAAAAACAACCATTGTCTTACACATTTGTCAGTATATACATTCATAGTGATCAGCTGAAATCTTTTATAAGGCAATAACTGACTTTAAAACACACATGCACCCCCTGCAGGCCTGTAAGAGAGGCTGTTTTGTTACTGGCAGAGAAAAGTAGTTGAAGATGCATGGAGAAACTATATTCATCTACAGTTTATGTTATCATAAATATGAGAATTTGGAACATACCAGCCCAGTTACCCCAGTCAATCAGAGAAAGTTATGTTTCTCCAAACTACATTTACGTTACATTTGTACATTTCATACTTATCATATCAACATTTCTAAAGTGACATAGCATTTAAGCTGACTTTGTCATCAAGAGCAGGAGGGGATGATGGGTGATATGACACTGGGGAGACGGTTGCCAAGTTACAGACTACTGTTCGAGAACAACAAACCACAAAACCGGTCAGTTTTAAGTGATCCACCACTGTGTTGCACCGGTAATAGTGTCACAAAAAGCAGTCCTTCTTTGCTGCTACATTGCTGCATTTATACTGTTCGCACACAGTGTTCGTGTGATTTGCTGTTCATAAGTAACGCACCAAAATTCATAAATCTCCTACACAATCATGAGCCAGACTTGTATTACCTACATATTTGGGAAGGCTGCAATCATGTGACCAATGCACTGATGTGAGTAAAGAGGGAAGCTGTCCCGTAAGAAGGCAGGCTGGGGAAGTCGATGGGTTACAAACCAAAGGATTTTCTCCAGGTGACCAGTGTTTGGAAACATGTGAACTTTGAATCATTTTGAGGTACGTTGTCACCTTGTTTCTTTTCCTAAACATAAAAACAGCAACCTTACTTGCCCAAACCTAACCTCCATAACTTTACATTAACTAATAATTATGTAGCATCATTCATGGGGTTCTACATCATAGGATATCATAAGAACCGTTGTATGACCGTACACTGCTGCATTTCCAGCTGGGATTCTTCTTCTTCGTTCCCTTTAGGGGTCTCCACAGCGAATCATCTGCCTCCATCTAACCCTATCCTCTGTATCCTCTTCTCTCACACCAACTGACTTCATGTCTTCTTTCTTTACCTCCATAAATCTCCTCTTTGGTCTTCCTCTCGGCCTCTTGCCAGGCAGTTCCAACCTCAGCATCCTTCTCCATCTTACATTCACTATCCCTCCTCTGAACATGTCCAAACCATCTCAGTCTGGCCTCTCTGACTTTATCTCCAAAGGTTCTAACATGAGCTGTCCCACTGATGTACTCATTCCCGATCCTATCCATCCTCGGCACTCCCAAAGAGAACCTCGACATCTTTATCTCTGCTACCTCCAGCTCTGCCTCCTGTCTTTTCCTCAGTGCCACTGTCTCAAAACCAGCAGGGATTACAAATTTAAAAAAAAGCCATAACATGATGTTTTCCAATCGTAACCTGGTGGGTTTTGTGCCTTAACCTCAGTGTTGTTAAAACGTGACAAACATTACATTTTTATGTATCGGCTACATAACGATGCACAATGGTAACATATGTGGTATACAGAAATGCACAATACAAACTTTTTTTCGACCAACTTCGAGAAGATTGGGTTGCAGGCTGACAGACAGAAGTGGGTTATGAGGAGTAGTTTGAACCATTTTTATCTTCTGTTACTTTTCCCAACCTGAAAACCTGTCTTTATGTAAATCCACAGTAACGGACAGAATTGTCACCACAGCTGCTATTGTCCCTTACTCAGCATATTATCGTCACCTTTAGAGCCAAGAGGGGGTTAAATGGCTTACGATAGTTCTGAGGTGAAATATTCCTTTAATATTATGTGTCAGTTGAAAAGATCACAGATCATCTCCCCCAATGTCAGCTGGAATAGACTCCAGCCCCCCTGCGACCCCCAACAGGAAAAGCAGTTACAGAAAATGAATTATTGGGATGAATGAAAGATTCACTTTTTATTACAACAGATGTGTCTGCAGTTATATTTAGTAAAATAAAAAAGAGGTCCTGCGCTCAGATGTTCTGCAAATAAATCCAAGCCCTGTGAGGTGGTTAAAACGCTCACATTAACTGTGCCGATCAGATCACAGGAGACACAGATCGCTGAAATATCCAGTAGGATATACATAATGCACAAGGCGAGAGGTGCCACTTTAATTATGATAATAAAAAAACCTGACAAACTGAATAGCTGAGGGCCGGGGGTGGTGTGGAGAGACCTGCAGCACATACAGTAGCAGGAAGGAGCAAACAGTATCGTAGCAGAATGAATAAAAATGAGTGACAGCTTGTCAGATTATCAGCAGATGTTGTGTTTGACGTCAGTGTTTTCACCAACTTATAAATAAACATAAATATATTGCAGCCTGTACTTACAATGTCAAAGAAGCACTGACAGGCATCTATGGTGTTCAGCAACTCATAAACGTGGTCCTGCATGAAGAACAGAGAGGGATTAGATTAGAAACATGACATAAACATATTATCATTTTCATAGTATCCTGTCACTGAATAATCATTACACATGCATATTTCTATAACATGATTGAGTTATTCTCAATCTTACAAATACGGGGGATGCATTGGCGTGGCTGCGACCTCCATCACAGAAATATGCTAATGTGAGGAGACGAGTAACAAGCTGCACCAAACCAGACTGAGCTGTCCTTGATATTTGGAATAAAATCAATTATTTTCCTATATAAGAGTAAACCACTCTATATGTAAATTTATTCTGGAAACCAAAATAGCAGAAGAAAACAAAGAGAATGGGGAGGAGAGCGCTGCAAACACCGTCATTGTCCTCTATTATCAGATTTGTGTTTTCGTATTTCAGGAATATATTTATTTTCCATTTTCATTGTTTTTCACTGTTTGTTAATGACGACAGTTGTTATGTAGTTATGCTTCTGTTTCTTCCTCTGCTGCTGTTGTTATGTAGGTCCTTGTCATGTTATGTGAAAACACAATAAATCTGAAATTTAAAACTTGACAAGACAGAAGAGACAGACAGAGATAATCACCCTGAACTCTATGACATCCAGGAAAGAGTCGTAGTAGCTCGTTGTGGCTGCCAACACCTCAGACTTCTGTCGCTGTATGCCGGTCAGATTTTGCTGCAAAGAAACAATAATGAGAACTTTTTATTACTGGTCAGGTATTATGAGGCATCACACTGTGTGAGACAACTATTTCTTGTTGCCCTTCTTCCTGTGACTGATTAAACCAATAGCCATATGCAAATGAAATGAAATGAACAAATATTTAAACACAGAGTGGACACAATAACATACTTAGTAGGCAGCTCATTGATACTAAACGGGGGGAGCGGACTAAGACTAAACAAAGTCTTGGCTTTCAGAATAGTGAAATCTATTAAAACACACAGGCTTGCCACAGAGCTAGTTCTAAGCAGCTTAGCATCATGCAACAAAGATAATATTAAATGTTTAAACTTTTGTCAATATGGACATGCTACACATATTGAGGTGGCACACCGATGCAGTTGTTAGCATTGCTGCCTCACAGCAAGAGGGTTTCTAGTTCGGATCCAGGGTGGGGGAGCCCTCCTGTGTGTTCTCCCTGTGTCAGCGTGGGTTTTCTCTGGTACTCCGGCTTCCTCCCACAGTCCAAAGACATGCAGGTTAATTGGTGACTCTAAATTGTCCGTAGGTGTGATTGTGAGTGTGGATGGTTGTCTGTCTCTATGTGTCATGAAAAACAAGCACCTGCATGTCCTTATGTAGAAACCAGGAGGCACTCATACTTACAATGTTTCCTCTGAAGTCAATGTTGGGGAATTTCTTGTTGATGTATTTGACGGCAGGCTCCATGGCTTTATCGGTCAGGAGGGAAGGCCGCAACTTGGGGTCTGCACATATCTGTAAAGAGGGTTAGTACAGGATAAAGATGTGAGGATGTGATGCGATCAGTTATCACATCATACCGTCACACTCAGTCAGATTTTTGTCATATTTCACTCAGGAGGTTTGGCAGTTAAATCCTTGATTTTTAACACATTTTCAAGCCCTGCCATCATGCACTGTGGGCTCTCTCGACAGGATTAAACTGTAATATTTTTACATTTTGAGTGGCATCCAGCCACTGGTTAGCTTGCCAGAAGAAGAATCCAAAGACTAGCTGGGGGAATCGTGGGCAGAGTGGGTAACAATGCTCTCCCACCTCCCTCAACAACCACCCTCAAAGTGACCTTGAGCAGAATATGTAACTGAACTGCTCCTGTGGGTCTGTTTAGAAACTGACAATTGAAGACTGTGCAGCAGCTCTAGAGTGTGAAGTCTGGCTGTGAAAATAAAAAATGCATGCATGCTCAGCACATCTTCGCCTGGCCTAAAACGAGACTGGTCTTCCATGTCTCCTCCTGATAAATGTTACAGAACACATGCTCATATAGGGTTACAGAAAGGGAGGTGTGTGTGTGTGTGTGTGTGTGTGTGTGTGTGTGTGTGTGTGTGTGTGTATGTGTGTGTGTGTGTGTGTGGTGCATGCACACATACTGTACAGTACACAAAACATAGTCTGTTTTCTCCTGTGTTTCACTTCCTGCATGTCACGTCAAGATAATGCCTGGGTCGTCAAAACAAGCTCGAAATTCAGAATAGTATGGCTGCAACCATGTACACGCATAAATCTACACGTTCACACATTCACACACACACGCACAGCCTCACAAACACTTGACGCTAATACAGTGATGCCTCCCTGTGACACGTGCCCTTTCATGAGTCATGAAAGGGCACATGACAAATGGTGTGTTTGTGTGTGTATTTCTGTCTATCTGTGTGACTGTATGTTTTTTTTACAAAGTTTGGTCATGTTACATGAATCCTTTTAGAAGTTATGTGCTTATTCATTATAGTCCAATCCAACCCCCCGACTCCTATTTGACATGAACAGTTAATTAGCTGTCCTTTGGCTCATGACCAATCTTTAAACAAAATCTTGTGCATGCCTGTGAATCAATTTAGGAGCCTTTTTGTTGTAGGCCACTCCCACAGACCCCCCCTAACCAACTGGCATAATCGCAAACCAACGCATTCTCACTCTGACCTCATCACATATTGACGTTTGGTCATGGACTTTCAACGTTCACATACGATGTGAAAGGTTCCCTGGTTGCATTGGTTGTTGATGTTCTGGGACACCGTGTCAAGTTCTGCCTGTTAGATGCATTGTCTTCTTTCAAAATACACTTCCGTTTTCACAGGTAATAAAACATTTTCATACAGTCTCTTTCAAAATAAAAGCATTAGGTTGGTAGAACACCGCAAAGTGAAGTTTTTTTTTCCTCCAGCAACTAACACACATGGTATGGCTTAGGCAACAAAAGCACGTGGTTAGGTTTAGGAAAAAAGAAAAGGGTTTGGCTTAAGAATCTTTCACCACCTTAACTTTTGTCCTTGTCCAGCCCCATTTCCCCCTGACGCCACCAAGCACTGTTGAACTATAAGGGCAACCGGCCACGTATCATGCGGATGTCAAAGAAAGCCTTTTTTCATTGGTTTCTGATGCCACAAGTCACTGCCCAAGCACTGGATTTCGACAACTTCGGAGTGAGACCAGGCTCTCGCAAACACACACCTTCACACATACAAACACACACACACACACTCACTAGAACTCCATACCGTTGCCACCAAAAGGGTGGGTAATTTTTTTTGGACCAACTGACCAACCAACAGAGCAGCCTATAGAGCTGCTGGTTGCAGTTAATAAACCAATCATACTATCTCTGGAGTCATCTTATAGTTACATTCTCCAATTTTTTCACTATGTTTCACTCGTCTGTTTGCATCTGATCTGATCAGGGCCATGCAGAGACCTTTAGGAAGGCAGGTGCTCAAAGTTAAAAATGAGCACATGGAACTATATTTTAAAACACCGTGCACCAACATAATGTAAAGTATAACCTAATCAAACCAACCCAGATTATAAGAAAATGCAACATGTAAGCTTACAACAAACTGCATCATACTGTATCATTGTCTCCCATGCGCTCAAAAACTGTACGAGGAAATCACATTAAATTTGTCATGGTCATAATCAGGGTCATCCCGAACAGGAATCCTTTGAAAATTTTATATAACATATTGAAATTTCCAATACCAGGGATTTATAAATGTGTTAAAATGTGTTGTGAGAGGACTTTCCTTTTATATTTCTCAAAAACTGTACAATAAAATCATGTGAACATTTCATCAAAACAGGAGTCCAATGGAAAATTTCAGCTAACTTATGAAGGAAAGGTTTTTATGACAAGTTAAAGATGTGTATATAATGATATTTTTGACTTTGGACTTTTTCAGATTGAGTAAAATAAAGAGTAGAGTAGAATCATTTCAAAATTTATTATAAGTGGATTTTATATAATATGCAGTATAATATCTTGGCTTTGGACCTTTGACATCAAGGTGCAAAGAGGTGGGTGCTCCCTCTGCATGTGCCTGAATCTGCCGTGTGACTTTCACAGCATTCGGTTTAAAATAACTGAAATTTGAGGTGACTGACAGCTCAGACTGACTTCCTGTTTGCACTTCCGCTTTCGGAGAAACAAGCTCAGAAGTGAGCTGGAACACAGTGCTGCCTGGACAACAAAGCACATAGTTGTTATAACTATCTCACATCGTTTTATTACTGCAGTCTGAGTTACAGCTTTTAGAGAGTTTCTTGATATTAAAAAGCAGTGAAGTACTGAGCTATTACTGGTGGTTTTCGTCCTTATGAGAATACGTTGTACAGTCCTGTATGGCAGAGAAAGTCATTTAACATGTTTGGCTTTATACCATTATTATAATTCGTATTATAAATACAAATGTAGATTGTTATCAGTACAATCAAGCTCTTGTTCCCCTTTAATAGTTCTACATGATCTGATAATAGAAATCAATGCTTATGCTTCTGAATATGATTCAATTTTAGTTTATTCCTAAGCAGTGAATAACTACTGATATGTTTACTGTTAAATGTATCTTTGTATAGTGTAACAAATGTATGCACACACAAATTCTGAGAAGACTACCACAGCATAAGCATATAAGGTCAAAATCAAGTTCCTTCTTTCTGTTACACGGACAACTCGCCTCTGTAAGCCTTCCTATTCTCCCTCACCTTTTTAATGTAGTTCATGCGTATTAACACCCCATTCCCTCTCTCATTGAGGATGGTGAGTTTTTCAGCCAGTTTCTGTTGGTAATCCATGGCTCCAGAAACACTGCACCTCTCCCTCCGTTCGAGCCTTGGCCTCCTGGTCCGGTGTGGCAGTCGAACCCTCAGAAACAAGTGCACACAGAGCCTCACCCTGACACTAGGTCACATGGGGCTCATGGGTGGGGGTGGAGCCATGAGTTCATTTGGGCTGAGTGTTAAAATCGCAGACATGCTGTCACTGTATGTCAAAAAATGGATATGAACTAAGAAAGAATTAAAACTTCCAAAAAGGTCAAAAAAAAAAAATACAAAAAGTTGGCAGGAGTGTTGTTTTTAAAACACTTTGCAACATTTAGATTTTCAGTCACATTTTAAGAAATGAGTGTCGACATTAATTGTACCACTTCACTGTAACACTTTGATTTGATGCTGGAGAGAAAACATATATCATTAATCATATATAGTTGTGTAAATGGATGTAAATGAATGGCTATGTCAATGCTTCCTGTCTGTTAAACTGCCTCTTTTGTTGTGTGCAGTTTGAGCTACTTCCTCTTGCTCTATAAAAGTACTCCTGTGAAAAGGGATGTTCGTACAAACCATATTTGTGTCATTCAAGGAGAGTGCACTGAGTGTAACACTTGTACAGAGGATAAAATAACAAGCCAGTAAGGAAAACCAGGAAAAGGAATGAACACCTAGCATCTCACTCACCACAAGATGGCACTGTTTACTAACTGAAGCTGTGTTTCTAGTTTGAATGGGGAATCAATTATGCAACAAAGTGTGAATGTGTGACAATGCCTTTTAAAGGAAGCATAATCATGGACGGATTACTGAACAGGCCTACCGGGCACAGACCCAGGGACTCAATCTAAGTGTCAGGGAGCCCCCTGGCCTTCATCTGCAGAGTGTCACTCAAATTAACACATACCAACCAGGGTGAGACACAAAAAGACTACAAAGAGATGCAAAGAAACTGCAAAGAGACACAAAATAACAACAACAAGCGGGAAAACAACCACAAAGAGACACAAAGTGACCAAAAAAAGAGACACAAATTACCTCAAGGAAAAACAAATGACAGAAAAGAGTCGCAAAACTACTATAAGGTGACATAAAATTACCACAAAGACACAAAATGACAATGGTAACTTTATATATATATATATATGGCATAGTTCATTACATTAATGTTGCTTCACATTTAAAGACAACATATAGGAGAACATATGAGAACATCAGTGGCATAAAACTATGTAAGAATGCAGTATGAGCATGAGTCATCATTAGCATAATAATATAGAGAACACGCATAAATAAACACACACACACACACACACACACAAAAGATGCAGAACAACTACAAAGACATGCAATACAAACAAAATAGTAAAACCCACACAAAGACTGTGTGTCTTGCTCCTATGGAGAAAAGGCAGTGGGGCCTTTGGCATATCTGTGCCCAGGGGCCCAGTCTCTCATAACCCACCGGAGCAAAAGAGATATATTTTTATCCAATTCGGAGAAGTTTGGCTCTCAAATGTGCAGTACTCATCCCACGCACTCAAGTCCAACACAAAACGTGAGCACTGAATCACATTGGCTCTGACCACACATTATCTTATAGATACAAGGTTCACATTCACAAACGATTGAGTGCCTTTTTTTTCTTAGTTTAGGGGACAGTAAGACAGCATAGATTCATGGTGAGAACATTGATTCCAGCATGAAGTCTGTGCTTTAGTCCTTCTTGTTTTGTGGGTACACAAATGGGTTTAAAAGGCTTGTAAATCTTGCAGGAGTCCAGACCAGAGCCAGCCCTACACATTAGGTGATATAAGTTGTTGCTTGTTGTTGACAAAAATGTAAAACATTTCATGTCATTTTTGCCAACAAAGATGATGAAATGAACAATGTAGGAAGACTCAGAATGTATTTTACTGTCCCCTACAAAACAAGCACTTCTAGGATGCTGGGTTAGAACAAGAAAAATGATTCACAGGTTAGGACAAATAAACAAATACTGTATTTATTATGGTCTGTTTAATGTCAGTGCTGCTGCTAATAGGTCTCACTTAGTCTTCACGTGCAAGCTTAAACCAATATTTACAATACACAAGTTGGTTCAGTGTCACGTGAACATTTTACATTGAGGGGCCCCCCAAACCAAATCTGGCTTAGGGCCCTCAAACGTCCGGAGCTGGCCCTAGTCCGGACTCTGTCTCTGCAATATGGCTCCTAAGAAACAACATTATTAGAATGTGTCTCTTATAAATCAGTGTTTTTGTGTTTAGGCATGTAAACAGTTTCAGAAACCTCTATTACCTGAAAGGCGCACAGTCACGTTACTTCCACATTGAGCCATTCTCACATTCAGCATAATTACTGAGACCAAAGACTTTGTCATGTAAACTAGAAAGGCCCCCAAGTTATTCAGCAACCAAGTGTTGCTTTCTGTTTTTCCCGCAAGACCCCAACAACTCCTCTTGGAATTTAGTGACAGGTTCAGTGAAGTGTAAACTGAAGAGTGCAGCGGAGTACTTTAGCGCTCGGAGAGAGTAATTTTCTTAATGAGAGTCACTAAAGTCAACCACAGCGGGCGCAAAGCTAAGCAAAGCAATGATTGATGTTAAGTGGACTCGAAGAAATAATCTGTTTATTATTTCCCTACTGGCAGAAACTCTGAGAGCGGTAGACATGTTAACAAGGCTGTCTGGGAAAGCAGACAGGAGGATGTGGATGTGGGAGGAGAGAGAGTGCAGGGGACGGTGGATGTGGGGGGTACAGTGTTTAGAATACTCTTGCCCTTTGTGAACCAAGTCAAAAAAGTGGATTCTTACCTGGCTTATTACGAAAGAGAGAGATACATGAAGCTGTCTGGCTTCCCGACTCGTGATTTGTGAAACCGGGAACTTGTTCCAGATGCACAAGAAGCAGCTGGAACAGGGTTATCGTCACAAATACAGATTGGAGCTACTGTAAGACTGCACTGAATGAACCTCTGAGTTGATCCAGGTTGATTTGGAGGACGGCTTGAGTTTGAAACATAAACTATGGAGAAAGGGACAGGTCTTAGGTCTGAAATATGATTGTAAAACTACTACAGTATGATTCAAAAGCTCAATACATCTCATGTAATACCAAGTCAGGTATCTATAGAAGATGCGCTAAAATGAGATGACCAACTGGCTTAAGTTCAACTGCATGACTGATCAAAAACTAATCTATCAACTATCAGGAGAGATTTTTAGAACGGATGGCTGAATATCCCACCCAAATATTTGTGTACATGCATTATTAAAACAAGATACAAAGAGATAAAGTTGCCCCAGACTTGAAGACAACAGGGTTATCCTTGCAGTGTGTGAGTGGGGCTGCAGGAGGAGGTGATGGTAATGATAGGGGAAGGGTTTGAGGAAGTGCTCGCAGCTCCGGCTGCAGCCCAGATGTCAGAAGAGAGACGGCAAAACACATGGGCCTGTCTAATAAATACAGTATAGGCAAGTGTAAAATAGGCTGCTATGTTATGAATGTTACCCGATATCAGCAGGACAATCTAACAATATGTGTAAATGTATTTGTCAGACTTTAGATTAACTTGATTTGCCCTGTTTCATGCTTAAAGCAGCTATGATCAGTATTTTTATACATGTTTTACAACCACTTCTAATTCTCAGGGTGTCATATACTGACACTTGGTCACACCCCTTAGTGTCTGATACCAACGCATAAGGCACCTATTAGCACCTGTATGAGACACACCAACTAACTGCAATGTAAACCCATTCTTGGTGATATTAGACGCTCACAGTAACTGATGTAGTATAAAGAGCGAGAAAGTCTGCATAGGTAGAAGGTCGGGGTGGAGGGATCGGTCAAACACACACAGAACTTTGTACCGCTGTTTTCAGTGAAAAAGCTCTAAAAATGGACTATAAAATATCTGTCAAAAGAAGCAGATATGTCACTGAGACAATGGTGGAGACCAAAAAAGAGCTAAAAGAGTAAATATTAGACTTAATGCTGCTTTGTGTCTCCTGGATGTGTAAATAAGCAGCTGTTTGCTGACAAGTTCACAATAATATGTTGGTGTTGTGTGCACTGCATGTTTCTGCTGCCACTTAGTGGACAATAAAACAGGTATTGCAAGTTTAACATAGCTGATATAGAGGACATGTTATTTGCAGGACAATCACGTACACTTACATATTTTGTGAGTACGCAAGATCTATTCAAGGACCATTGTGTCCAAGTGTTTCATGCCTACATACCACAATTGTCCATCTGAGACAGTCCCAAATACATCCTATGACTGAAGTAGCTAACAATTAGCTAGTTACTTAGAATGTTGAACAGCTAGCAAAACATTGGCCTCAGATGGCAACTAATGGTTACCTAGCTATAATAATAAAAAAAATACAAATTAAAACTCCAACAAGGATACTTGGGGAGTAGATAAAAAAAATGCTTGTCAATAGCTATATGTGTGGCGGATGTAATAATGTCAGTTAAACTCATGGATGTATAAAGAGAACTGGATACAGCATTGGAGGCAGGCCCATGTTCATTCCTATGAAAGTTGCTCAGTGGCACATTAAGCCAGAAAGTTCTGATGAGCTCTGCTGAGTATTTGTGCAGCTCTTCTAGACTGTTATCAGACTGATTGGATCAAATCTTGATAGTCAAATGAAACTCATTTTGCAAGCGTTGTGACACTCAAAAGAATGTCTCCACTGATTTACAGACGTATCTTTCACAGTGTAAGTCTATGGGAAAGAGTCTTTTTGTGCCCTGTGGCATCACATCCAGCTGGACGACCCAGATATTCTAATTCCACATTTGGCCACGCTGTAAAACGGCTTTAAAGCTCGGCACTGTTGGGGCTTGGATATAAAAACTACCTGGATCTACCACATTTATGGCCCCATAGAGCAAATGCACTACTGTTTCCGTCAATCCTTCTTCCCAACCACTCAGTCTTGGGCTCACTCACATGAATGACAGTAGGAAAATAACTCTTGATTCAGCCATTAGTGAATTTTACAACTTGTAGGAGATTTGGGCTATTTATGTGTTCATACTGGGATGTTAATGTACCTCAAAAACTGCTATCCACTGATTTACGGACATCTATTTCACAA